GGGGGGGGGGGGGGGTGTGCTTTGCATTGATTTGGCAAAAAATGTGATCATCACATGGCCAGGTTATGATGTAGAAGTCACCTCATCTTACCTGAATAGAAGTTAGAATAGCTGAAACATCATATGTAGGACTCCATCTATTCTGTAGAATGTCTAAACATATGCTACCATCTGCATATACTGAAATGAAAATTAAAGATGCCCTCAGACACATACGAATCGATATAATTCATCACTTATTTATTGTTTATTTCAACTTAATGTTCCTAGACTTGCCAAACTTGCCATTAAGCCACAAAAAAAAAAGCTAAACAGCACGTCTGTAGTGTATAGTATATATAGACTATATATATACATTCTGAATATATCTAGCTGACAGACTGAGAATTGGTAATAATCCTCTGCCACTTACCATTTGGATGAAACATTTTTGACACAAATCGCACTGTAGGAGGTTTGTTAGGATATTCTTCTGTAAATTCAATTGTTAACTTGAAGGTACCATCTTCAAAAGGTGTGTCATGTGGCCTGAAATATACAACAGAATAGATTACACACTGCAGCTGGGTGGGTTAGGATGTATGCTCTGCTGTGTTTTGACTTACAAAGTAATAAAAGTAGGCAATGCTATGATAGGAGGCACCAACATGTTACCAGATCCAGATGGTTTAAATGTCATCATAATTTGAGTCTACTTTAAAAGTACAATACAGTATCAAAATCATTTCTTTTCATATTATCTTTGTTGCCGACAGTGTCATCGGCAATTTTTGTTTCGTTTGTTTGTGTTGTTTGTCATGTTTACTTTGTGTTGTCTCGTCTTGGTGTGAGTGGCGCCCTCATATGTTGGATGATTGGTGTTCTGTTGAGTGGAAATAAAACGTCACCATGTATTGTCATGGTTGGAACACGCCTAGTACTGTACGCGAATGAGTGGAGGCAGCATTGTTATGTATGTATTTAGTTATTTTATATATGTATTTATTGTAATTTCTTTATTGTGATATTTGTATTAAGTTGAAATTTATATTTGTTTATTCTGTTACTTTCATTTGTTTCATTTGTTTCAATTATTTCAGTTCACCGTCATCAGTTTGTGTCAAGACGTGTGTAAATAAATGTTCATACCTCCACCGGAAAATTATGTTTTTGTATTCGCAACAATCTTCATTCATTCATTCGTTTCTTTTTTTTTTCTTTCTATATATAGTACCGTAATGCATTCCCTTCAGTGTTGCAAGCAAATGCGAAGAAAATCTTGGAAACCAGTTCAACTGAAACCAATTCCATGGAATCTGGGCCTTGATTGATATAATCACCATGGCAACCCGTGTGATGAGGTAATTTAACAGCAGATATGTAATGCAGCATTTACAGCCATTTCTGAGATGACTGCGTCCATTAAAAAAAACACATTTCCTCACATCAAAGACTGACATACACACTGGTTTGGGGTTAAAATAATTGGTAGAAAAACTGGCCTTGTAAAAACATCCTGGACGGTGTATTTGCCTTTTCAAATGAAAGTAGTGCACACACAAATACTTTCTTTTTGGCACACAAGCAATGTCTACGCATATCTGAAATGACTGTAAAAAAATTCCAAAATGCAGCATGAAAACTTCACAGTTACTGACTACCTAGGAGTTCAAACATTCCTCATAAAATGGTAATATTGCTCTGTAATCTTACACTTTACCAGCTTATATGAACAAACATTCAGTTGATGAAAACATGTATAGAGCATTATGCATAGTTATTGGCTGTCTCTGACGACCAAGTCTAATGATTCCAACCAGCGCATACAGCAGCAAATTTGATATGGCCATGATCATTTTAGCCATATCAATATGAGCTGGTCAGGTCAATTGATTTCTTCTCTGTACATATTTATACTGTGTTCATCAGTGATATGTACAGCTACTGAATCTGAAATGTCTCCAGTTGTAATATAGACTTATCTGTACTTCAACTTGTCCGCAAAAACTGTAATTACATTAAGAAACCATCAACATCTAAACCTTAAATCTTCCCATTTTAAAATAAGACTTTTCTTATAAAATATACAACATATGTTGCCTACAAAATCCGAATTCAGAAAAAACATTTTTACATTCAAACAAATACAACTTCTCACTGAATGTTACATTTTGTCATTAACATTGTTTGTTGAACAGGTTGCCAATAAACTGTCATAACAGCTGACTAACATGCATACAGAGCTCTACAGGCGTTTCATAGTTATGAAAATCAACACTATTCCTAGAAAACCCCACTGGTGCGTGCCAATAGTTGTCAATAAACTATGAAAAAAAATATCTGAAGACTTCCATATTTCTAGCACTCCAGTGAATATAAATTACACTGTGTACATATGAAACAACTCTCAGGTCAGAAAAATCTGGATTAAGGCAGATTGAAAGTTTTGTGCGTAATCATATTCATCCCAGTTGGTCTACTGCACAAATAACCATACATGTCAATAAGGTTCGTTATATTGTATACAAAACCCTAGTTCTTATCAGTGAAATCTTTATATCCATATCCTTTTATTTGCAATTTCCACAAAGGAAACCACAATGTGAATATAATAGGAAAAGGAAGCTAGGAAATATTAGCTCTTATCTGATAATAAGGCAGGCTCCTCTTATTACAGCCATCAGAGACACTGTACTAGAATTTTGGGGTAAAATTTTATCATTGTGATACTGGGAAGATAATAATCATGAATTTCAGCACTTTCTGGGCTATAAGTGACAAACAGTATCAATATCTGCATAAGATAAATAGAAGCTGTTACAAAATCCTGTCATACCAGTATTAGACAATGGAAATACATGACAGCAAGTGGGAATTATGTCACCGAGGTTGAGTTTTATTTGACAAGCATTAGGGCTATTCACATCATCTTCCTGAAAAACTTGTTGTTACATAACTAGTTTCTTCATATTTACTGAGTTGAGCACTACTAGATTCAGGACCCTATGTAATTTTATAAGAATTAGATATATAATTTCTCCTTTCTGCTATAAGATAAAAAGAACCACAGAGTAACAATTATAAAAGAAACAAATTTTTCATGAAAACATCTTTGACACTCTCATGCAAATGAGAAATCAATTTTTTTCAAAATCCCTCAGCAGTTTTCAGATAAAGATATGAATGTACACCCCATCAATCCTGAAGGCCAGCATGTAAATAAAGGGGTGTCTGTCTGTACTTAGTCTTCCTCAGAATGGTGTGTTATCTCAAGGTGCTAACCAACAGGTTATCCACTCTCTAAATATAGCACTAGTAAGGCCTGAACATGTGCCAAAGTTTACCTGGGCTTTAAATTATGATGATGCTTGTGTGCTAGTTAACCTGAAATCTACAAGACTAATGAATAGGCAAACTGCCCTATAATGTATTTCTTGGAGTCAGTGAAAGGACACAGGAAAGGGGGCAGGTGTGATGATGAGAGAGAGAGAGTTCAAAAGGTCAACAACAATCTTAGTCATCATTCACATGACAAAACAATAACATAGTAGTTAAGGTTTGTCTTGGGTCAAACTAAGGGTAAATATATATTCAATAATTCAAGAATGATATCCATTTTTCATCCTTTCAGAAAACAAAATCAATCCCAATTTGTTTATCAATATTGACCTAGGTCACAGCCATTGTTGACTACAGTCACTGTTGACCTCAGAAAACATTTGAGAACAAGTGACTTTTCTATCCCTATCTTTGTTTAGCATCACCTTACTAGTAGTTGAGCCTCTTCACACTGTCAATATTGGCAATATCTAATGACTGTGGGCACTTTGAGGAGTCAAGGATGTAAAACTCAACTCTACCAAAATTTCACCAAAACCATGAATCACAATTAGTCATTTTCTAGAAACTAAAACAACTCAGCATTTTATAATGTCAGTTTCATAATTAGTAACTTGTAGAATCTGTTCAGATAATACTAACAAGTTATTGAATGATAATCACTCAAGCCCACTCTCTATCCACTGATAAGACAAAACAAATGTCCTCCCAAACTGCAATGACAGGAAGGTGAAAACTACAAGTACTAATATAAATATTAGATACTGTATCCATCTTGCTACACAGGGACACAAGAAGCATTTTTAATCCAGTTAAGGCAGATTTATTTGGCCCCTTCTAAAATTGAGTGGTACACTTAATTGTCCACTTTGAGAGAGTGACAAGAGAGTCACTTGCTATAACATGAGAGACACTTAAATGGGGCACCACAACAGGGACGAGTCCAAATTATAATCAAACAATCTCTGTGGCAGCCAGCTGTGGCATAAAGCTGAAGTGTTGCACAAACATTGGAAATGTGGTGATAACCTGACATTTCTTCTCAAACATGCTGCAACTGTATTAGCCTAGAATAAAGGGACTGTGGACTATCACCACTGCTAACTCGCCAAAATGAGATTACCTAGGGTCCTCACAGGTGTTCTCACCACAGATGGTGTTGCTGACAATCACCAATCACACGTAATTCACACTATGCAGTAAAACCAAAAGTAAATCCAGGATCGGGGATAAAGCAAAGCATTGTTTGTAGGGGGAATAGGTCGATATAAATTTTGACTCTTTTCGGTTCATATCCTTAAGTTTCGATTTCATTGAAAACCGAATACTGACTCACAAATCATCGTAATTTCTGACGACGTATTTCCGCATCTCACTTTGACAAAGGAAACTTCTCGAACGGCTCAAAGACTTACCCAAATATAACAGCATTCCATAACATAATATTATTATCTGTAGGAGCACCACTTACACCAGCTGGTGGATCTTCTTGTAATCTGAAAAAATATTAAAAATTGTGTAACAAAAAGATAAAAGATTTTGTAACTGGGGGCAGCCATGATGAATAATTCCCCACATCATCAACAAAAACACTTCGGAGCTCAACTCACCTTTTGAAATCTCTCATTAATCTCCTTCTAGCTGGTGTAGACATTTTACGGATCAATACAATACTATACAGAAGTTTTTCCTTTCGTTAACTAATAGAAATTTGATAAATAGTGAATACAAATAGTTAAACAGTTGTTTCTGTTGTTTCCTACGCTTTCATCCGGGTATTACTGGAGTGATGACATCACGGTGGAAATAAACTTGGAGATCACGTGATGCCAAGATGGGAGATTCCTGACCTCCATTCTGGAAATAGGTCAAAGTGTTCTCATATTTACTTTACATTAGCGGGCCTACGCTTTATCTCAGATGCAGTAGGTGTTTGAGATGAGTGAGACTTAATGCTGTAGGAGGACCTTTGTTCCTCCCAGTATTTTTGTCAATGAGTCAGATTATCAGGTATCCTGAGCGCGAATGGGGAGGGGGCATCTTGTAACATAATTGATAGTAAAACTACATTTTACAATTTTTCAATGTTTACAATTAATTTGTTAACACCAATGAGAAGAAAAAATAAATAAAGCAATCCATTCCGTTTTTTTTTTTTTTTTTTTTTTTTTTTTGAAAGAACATTTATTTCAATTTACTTTTTATAATCAGAGCTTGTAGACTCTGTAACCAATATAGCAGACAGCTAAATAAAATGATCACATTAAATGCTTTTAAAATCAATCAAAAGATGAGACCAGGAGATCATATGGTGAAATTCTTATCACTAATAATTTAAATCTAATATATCTGTCATCTGCAGATTTAAAGTTATTATCTCATGTAATATTCTATCACTTGGACCAAGTTAGTCCAACATTTGCCAACTATAATCTGAATTTTACACATTATGTAGTACTGAAATTACAATGGTGAGGTAATAATCAAAATAAGGAGATAATTATTATTATGAAAAAAAATTAATCTGCAAATATATTAAGTCTTGGAAATGCCTGTTAACAATTACTTCAATAAGGCAAAATCCGAGATCTTATTACTACACGATGAACATCAAGCAAAATTTAATTTGTGAAATAAGAATCAAGCAAAGAGATAACACGTCATAACACTTCAAAAACTTCCAAATGTCATGTAAAATTTGAGGGGCAACCATTGGACAATGACATTCTATGACCTCTTTAAAACGTTCATGATTGAAATTCAGTCCAGGGTTTTGTATCATCAAACAATAAACATTTCCACTGACTATAAATAACTCATTCTTTAACTGTGTTCTCAACAGGGGAAATATGGATCCTGACTCATTGATGACTAAATAAATAGAATATTGCTTTTATATCTCTGTTGATTCAGAATCTCATATATACCAGTGTGAATATTTTTATAAGCAACACATATGGCTAGAAAAATAAAGCTACAAAATGAAATAATCTAAATACACATTAAATAAATATGTATTGTACAGTACTTCCTATACAATCACATGGCTATACTATCACCAACAGTTTATAATACTAAAACAATAGGGCATAATAAATGTAAACACTAACTAAAAAGTGGTACAAAGGAATATAAATGAAGCAAAAGCTGAAATATTAAATGTCATGTATATACCATAATATGCATACACTAAAGCTGCGATGAAAACATTGTTTAACTTTAACTGACAAAGACTTAAAGTATCCCAATTTCAAATTAAATGCTACAAGCATTCATTGCATCATAGTCTTTATAATAACTTGTAGTCAAAAACATTCAATTTCCTGCAATTGGTAACAGTGTTGAAATACAATTTTCAAATCAAGTGATTTTTGTATTAGCTGCATTTAACAAGTGGTAAAAAGGATTGCAAGATATCTGTTATATCTGTAATGGTCTTTTTGAAAAAAAAAAAAAAAAAAACATGATAACCAAAGGCAGGCAATCTATTCACTTCTTGTTTACTCTCATAATCAACATTTCTATTCAATAGCCACACCTTTTTAATGATAATATAATTTAATAGGATTTCAATTTCATTATATTCAGTGTGAACCACAGACTTGAGGACTCCATTACATCATGACTAAAATGTTTGTGCGTTTTTTGTTTTTTTTTTGCAAGTACTGCCAGTAGACTAGCTGAAAGGAACACCACTAGGTCATCTTACAAAAATGATAAAATCAGGCTAGATTTTTAATCTTAAGATGTACCATTCTCTTCCTTCTTCTCTTCTCTTTTTTTTTTTCATAATCCTCTGTGTACAGCACAGTAAACATAATCATTCAATTAATTTCCATAAAAGGGACATTTGCTTAAAATCCCCATGTTATAATGTGTATGGCTCACAAATTAAATTCCAATTTTTTTGCCAATTATATAATATTATGTGTCATGAGGTTAACAGTGGTCTAAAGCAGAATAGTCAATTCACATCAGCCTACCGTATTTGGTGGATTAAAATATCATAAACCAGATTTTCATAAACATCTTTCAAATCATACTGACAATGAAAATGTCACATCACTGAATGCTGAATCACTGAATTCTTAATTTCCTGAGTGAAATACCAAAGAAAATCATAATTTGAATTTTAGTTCAATTGCCCACTTATTCACAGTACCACCATTTTGTGGTAGTGACATATTTACAAGTAAGGTAGACTGCCTTGCATTTCTCTGCACTAGCTTGGTGACAAGTTTTCGCACAAGAATCTTAACACAGAATACGGGTTATGCACGTAACTGTTCACACTGCCATGTCTTTGCGACTCTGGTTTCACAAATAACATGCAGATGCTAAATATGCATCTGGGTAAAGACGGTACAAATAGTGCTACATCGATTATCAATTTCACAATTTTGTACAGCTGATGAAGTAGATCTGACCACCTGACATGCAGAATTTAAAGATACCGTTTTAGAGAAATATAATTTCACACCCAAATATAAGCAAATATTTACCTTTTTTGTATAATCTAATACATTAAAAACAAATTATTTTTACAATATAAAACACATCTCACATATCAATATATATAATATATATGTTACGTGTACCCTGTTGGATCATAAGTGACACCCATTTCAAAAATCACATGAGATCAAAGCATCACTTCAAGGTACGATTTAAAAGATTTTGGCATAAAAATGGCTGGCATCCTTGACCCTATGTTCAAATACCTACCGACCACCAGTCTGTAGCATTTCAAACTAAAAAAACACCCCTTATTTAAAGAACTTTTTCCCCACCAGGGTTGAACTAAGCCAATGACTTCCTTCACATCCCATAAAGATGTCATGTTTGAGCATTGGTCATAATTGCAAGAATAAAACTGGGTACAACCTGTCTTCAGATGTTTATGCAGGTTGTCCTAAAAAGGGATTTACTATCCTATTAAACACAATAGTTTACAAATCTATAAAAGTTGACAGTTTTTTCTTCTTAATCAAATAAAACAACTATCAATATGTACAAACATACAAAAATGAGAAACTTTGATATCTTTCATAACAGCTGCTAATGTGGTTGACATAATTGGATGAAGTCACATGATAATCATGTGAATGTCACATGACATACCAGACCTACTTGAAATATACTATTAGACAGTCTTGAACTACATGTGTTTCAATTTTCAGCAAAACATCAATCAGTGATTTTGACAGTTTTGCAATGTAATATCTCAATATTAAATAAATCTAGATCTTATCTTCAGAGCACTATATGAGGAGTGAATAATGGTACCGGAGATGCATTCACATTTGGCAAAGATCTTGTCGATTTTCCTTCATCTTCAGATCCAACCTCTGGACTTTCCACAACATGCATATATTCTATGCACAAGATAGTGAAGTTGTGTCTCTTTTACTGGAACCTACACAAAATCTTTGACAAATAACGGTGGGTCCAGATCCATTTGTGAAAATGCTCCTTTTTTTAGTATCAAAGAAGGAATTGAAGTCAAGAACCATGTTGTGTGACCATGGCTTCGTAGATCAAGCTGTCGTAGCCTTGTTGCATTGCAAGTGTGCTGTCATGTTCGACGGCGCTCTCGGTTACCTCGTGCTGGTTGCTGTTGATGTGCACAGGGAGGCCATTGCATGTGTTCCTCGTGAAAGGTTCTAAAGAGAGAGAAAAAAAGATTTCTGTTAAAATATGGCCAAAATATTTTGTGGATCATCTGAGAAATATATCTTGAATTATATGTTTTTTTTTTTTTTCTAATTTAAATAACTATTAAAAACACTGCCTTTAGAAATAAATGAAAGGAAACAATTAAAATAAACTGTTCATTTTTTGGGGGAAAAGCAAAACAAATAAACAACGTCAGATAATTTCTCCTTTCTTGCACATCAACAGCAGCCAGCACCTAAGAAACAGGACGAAACTCAAATTATATACAGGTCATTCACAGTAAAATAACAGGTCTATAGCCTCTTTTCAGACATAAAAACCTCTGTGTTACAACTCATTTTCTCACATTAAAATCCTCACTTCTAAAGAACAAAACCATACTGCTAACCAATAATCTTATTACTAACAACACATTCGAGAACAATGTCACACATGGAAAAAATACTGAGGCCAGTCGTGCACAAAAGGCTGCTTTTCTTTGTCTTCATCTTTATTTTGCCAAGTCTCCATGGTGCCATTGGCTGTAGTAAGAGAAGTTACTCCTTCTGTGCTACCATTTATGTGTAGACTGGGAGAGAATGGTGCTTCATGCTCATCTGCAACATGATGGAATGTCTGTGTGAGTGTTAGAGTATGAATCTTCAAGTAAACTTGGTACAAACACCACAAGTGAGGCATAACAAGTCCACTTGATCTAAACTGGGCACACCAAAGCATGATCGTAAGAGTATAAGCTTGTGGTCATCATATGAGAAAGATAATGATTTCAATATAAAAAAAGTGGAAGAAAATCGGCTTGTTTTTCTGGATAAAAACCTTGACCACTGAGCCAATTTAGATATAGTGGCCTGCTAAAGCCATACACTTGTGGGGGCAGTCTTTGCGTCTAACATCCTGCACTTCGTCAATGGTAGCCACGCCATTCTTCTGGTTTCTTGCACTTCTGTCATGGTCATCATTATCAGAAGGAAATGGCTGCAGCTTGCCATCTCTGCTGCTGACTACACTACCTTGACAAAAAGTGGTGCCATTAGTATTATGATCACTGTTCCAACTGAAGGTGGCGCCACCCACTTCTGAGTTGAAAATATCTCCCATAGGGGAAGAGAACTGCACACAAGGAAAGACATCTGGAAAAAGCAAGAGACACACATGTACACATTTTTTTTTTTTTTTTTTGCTTTAAAAAATCTGATGGAGAAGGAAATAAATAATTAAATAATCTCTCATTAAAAAAACAATTATTAAAACAAAAGCAAAAACTGTGTTCTTTTTTTTCTTTAACCGCCAATCAATTCTTGGTAAATAATAAAACGATATAAAATACAGATAAACAGAAAGCAGATTTCCAACTAACAAAAGTGAAGGGCAGTTTTGGCATAAACTAAACCCATGAAAGTCTTCTGCTATTGCAATCACACTCACAGCAAACAAAGTCAACATAGACAACATTTTTCACCCATTTTTTAATTGTATATATTCAAATGTTGAAGTTAAATTAATTAATTAAACAGAACTCGTTATCTGCACTGCATTTGAGGCCATATCAAAACTGAAACCGAAAAGAATATATGTCTGAAAATAATTTTAATAGAGGTTGGTTAGAAATGATTGAATGTGAAATAATATAGGTAATATTAGGTCAAAAAGATTTAAATGTTGACATTTGTGGTTGGTAAGTGTTGTGACTGGCATGTTTGTGAGATGCTATATTATAAGGTCTTAGGTCAGTCAAGTTTTAATAATAATTTCATAATAATTTTGCTCCATTTATTCTTAAAAATCATGATTCATCCAATTACTTCCAAGCTCATTTGAATGGCATCAGAAATAAATAAAAAATATCTGATTCACACTCAAGGTGAACATGCGATTGAAAAAAAAAACATGCTCAAAAAATGTGCAAATCATACTTGTAACATCTTAAACCCATTAATTAATTAAACCACAAAGAAAACTGTCAATGTCAATCAACCCAAACTGTACAATGACCTAAGAGCTTAAAATATAACATACCATTTAGACCATGACCAGCCAGTAGTGGGGATCTTCAGAGACTTCATCCTCTGCCTCCCAAATGATCTCAGGTTGTTTTAAAGGCTCTGTAGAAATGCTAAGGATGTCACTGTAGGTGAATGTGGTAGTACCCCCACTGGGCTCATCAAAGTTTGCTTCACTTTCCATGGCTTCTGTCACCTGTGGCAACTGACCCAGGGGGGACTCCGAGGTGGAGCATAAAGCATCGCTTTGGGGGAAATTTGGTACATAATCTGAAAGTGAAAACTTGGATATTCTCTGAGATATTCTGAAATGTAAAAATTGGATGACTTTGGTGTTCTAAATGAGAAAGATATTGATATATTCTGAAAGGGAAAATACAGAAAACATCTCTTTTTTTCAAATATGGAGAAAATAATCCAAATAACTTCTAAATTCATTTTCTAAAAGGCCATCAATTCAAAAGATATTGCACAGAACAGTAAATCCACTTTTTATGTTCAATATCTTTCTTAATGGTTGCTTATTTCATATACTTAAAGAAGAAAATGGTTGCAACAATATTACAACACATTTCTTATAAACCACTCTGAAATTCTGCAAAAAAAAAAAAAAAAAAGGCTTTAAGTATTTCATCAGCACACTCTAAAGAAGAAGTTTCAATATGGTAATCATAATGCACCCATTCATCCCCCCCTAAATTCTATCATACACACACAAACAAATATACAGAAGGAGATGCACCCCTCTGATAACACTAATTTATGAAGAAACAGTTCCATATGTTATATTGAAAGAAATCAATTGGTATATTCTGACTTTGCAAATTGCAGGTTGTGTGCTCTCTATCTGACTCATTTCTGTACTCATCTGAAAACAACAGACAACAGCAGATCAATAACTATGTTGTATTCTAATATCATTCAGGGTAGATCTGTGCAACCAGGTAAATGCAACCAACATGTGTTTTATCTATTTTTTGGGGGGGTTAATTCATCACCAGGATGTACCAAAATAAATTCTTATATTATCCCTTGTCTTCAAATCATTGTTATCTGTTTATTTTAATTTTTTACCTCTGCCAAGGAAGTTGTGTTTATTCGTCTGTTGTGGTTGGTTAGTTAACAGCTGAACTCCAAAATTTATGGTTAAATTTTGGTAAAATTTTCAGGATAGATCTAAAATGGGCTAACTTAGAATCAATTACACTTTGGTGGTAAATATGATCAATAAATTAATGAGCATTTTTTCCCTGAAGGTGACACCGTTTCCCTGACACAGGAGTAAGTGTTTTTTCAATAACTGAACTCAGTAATACCAGTCAACTCCTGGTATTCAGATTAATGTGATTTAATCAGACCACGGGTAGAAACAAGTAACTCATCCCACTGGCACACCACGCACACAGATATACCCGTATCTACACTTAAAATAAAACAACAGTAATATCATTAGCCTTGAACTCAATCTATTCTATTCATAAACCTTATTACTGATCCAGTGCTATTCATATAGACATGGAGGAAGGAAGACGGAACATTCACCCTGTGACCTTGAGACAGCAGACAGCCAACCCTTGCTGTAAACAAACAATTCATGTTATCAGTGTGGATACCATAAACATGTCTTTTCATTTCTAGACTCACAACTTTCTTATAAACAGAGAACTTTTATAGTAGTGGATACAAAGATTGTTTCAAACAGACAACACATCCCATGAGTTCAGAATTTTGTTTTCTATCTTTTAAATCTGCTAAACCCACCCCTGGTTTGTGGAAACATATCTATCAGCATGCCCCTGCCTTTACCATTTTCTGGTCACAGAGTAAAGTGTTCGATATTCCCTGAAAATATTAAAACTTAGTGATAATCATGTTTTTTGTTCTTGTTGTTGTTTTAGAACAAATTCAGTACAATTTGTGCCATATTACCTCCTCTGCGCACTTTCTTGTAGTTCTCCTCTCCATCGTCTTCTCGACATCGTTTATGCCCTGCTATAGGGACCAGATTGCTTGAGACGCCATTTTGCAAGAGAATATCACCGTTTAGGTGTACCTGAGAGGAGCCGTTGACTGTGGGATGAAGGTGAGGGTGAGCATTTATATGACCATTTACCACAGGAGGGTTGCTCAGGTGATGACCTTGAGGCCCATCACCTTGACCTTGGTGAAGGTCATGTGAATCTGAGTCCATTTCCTCCATTTCGTGGTCTTGTTCGTTGATTCCATTGGTTGTAACAGTATCTGGTGGTGGGAGAAGACCACCATTAAGTCCCTGTTTGACAACACAGTCATGATTTTTTTCACTACTTTCTTCGTTGGCTGTAACAGGAGGCAGCAATCCCGGTGTCTGGCCTGTCTGTTGAAGCTTCTGTTGCTCTAGTGCACGTTCTAAGTAATTGGCGCACTCTTCGTAGCCGCAGTTTCTCGCTAGTTGGGCAGGAATGTTACCAGAATAGCTCCGGATTCTGAAACAAGATATATAATTCCACGTTATATTTGTATCTTGTATTTAATGATTATGACCTATGTCATTTTATATTACTAGTAATCGTGGATATGGACTGCTCGGCAATCTTGTACCATTGCAGACATGAAGTCTTTAATTGGACCTCACCAATTCTTTTATTCATTTTTATTTTTTCATTCGTTTAAACTTCCATATTTTATAATTCTACTATTTCCAATCATATATATTTTCAGTTGTCCTAAATTTACAAAAGACATGAAAACTGTTCTTTATCTGCCTAACATAGATTTTAATTTATGCAAATTATGCATTTTTTCACCAAATTTGCAATAGACAGCCAATAACATACCAAATAAGCAAATTTCCTCTTAGCCAAAGTAATATTTGCCTTGGTCAAAGCACTTTTTTCACTATTTGGTAAAAATTCCTACACGTACTAATTGGGCCTGTCACTGATTATCTTTTTCTTTTTAATAAATTTATTTAGAAAGGATAAATAAAAACACAAAGCTAAAAAACACAAATTTGGTATTTAGGAATCTAAAAATGAAGGTATTTTTCAAATGTTGACCTCCCAAAATATTTCAAGAAAATAAATACAATAAAATGAAATGACACTAACAAGAGAGACAACTCTGCCAACTCCCCCTGAAGCACACAAAACTGTGTTTACACAGGCTAAGCACACCTGTGGTCAGTTCCATGTCAGACCTCTCCACATGACCAGAGTGATAAAATAGCAAAAGTGACATAGATGGACTATTACACAACCTAACAAGCTGAACCTCCACTAAAGAAAACTTCAGACCAAATGCTTGTTTTAAGTGGTCTGTTTTCAACACACCAGAGAGTGCTATAAGCAGTGCTACGAAATATGCTTATAATGCCACAAAGTTTATTTTTGCCAAATCTTTATTTCAGTTCCTGGCAAACTTTCTGCCCAAATCAAATGAAAAACCAACAATAAAAAGCTGTAAATGAGAGAACAAAAAAAAAAAAAAAAACAATTTGAATAAGCTGTAATTTTAAAACCAAGATTAAAAGAATGAGACAGACAAAATAATAGCAGCCATATCAATATGGGAATCTTTGAGATGAGAAATTCAAATCTAAAAGATAACTGTTAACAATTGCAGATACACCACCAAGCATTCACCGGTATATACACGCACAAACACGTACACACACACACACACACACACGTACATACACACACACACACACACACACACACACACGCATGCACACCCTATCATCAGCAAACTGTTACAACTATGTAGCACTAGCGGTGATGACTTACGTGAGTGAAGCACCATGAGAGGCCAGCAGACTGATACACTCCATGCTGCCAGTACGGGCGGCTTTATGGATCGGTGTCTCACCCAGGTAATCCTGAAAACACACCAGAAAAATAAATTAAATTTCAAAAATTGTAAGTGATTACAATCTTAATTTCTAATACTTTCTAAGCCTCTTGCTTCAGAAACTTATTAGCATGTCTCTGTAGTAGTTTACAGAAAAACCTCTGGGTACACTATAACCTGTGGTTATCACTTTAACATATAGGATATACTTAATTTCATATTAAGCCAAACATTTTTTCAGAAAATAATTATATTTTTTCGTTTCCAAATACACATGATTCTACATTCCCTTTGATCCAATCATGGTCTAACATAAAAATTAAAGAACAAGAAAGACAATAGCTGAAAGACAAAATTGTTAGGAAAAACAAAATATCAAATACAAATAAAACATTTCAATGACTGTTCCCAAATCCACTTCGACTGAGATTTTTTAAATGAAATTAAAATGCTACACCACTGACTAGCATAGCATTTCCCCAATAGCTTTGAAACGGGAGTCACAATCTGAATGATATTTTCCTCCAAACGGATATTTCTCTGTCCGTTTGTTGAATCATAGCATGAAAACTATTGACCTGCTGCTACATTCACCTCTCTATAGAGTACATCCCCGAGTTTAAGTTTTTTTAATACAATATCTGAAAAGTAAACTGAATATGATCTGATTTCTCTATCCAGGCACTTCTGAATGTGTTTCAAGGGCCAGCAGGAGTTAATATTGAGGAGAGATATTCCCACCTAGCTAATAAAGTTCAAGAGATTGCCTAGGAAAATTGATATTGAGAAATTTCCTGCGACATGCACTGTAAGCAAGGTCAAAGCAAGTGCAGATGAACATAATAAATACATGGTAACAGATTAAATTATGGCACTGTTGTATAAATGAACTGTTTTCTAAATATATCTATGTATTCATTTATCTAGATATTCAATCATTAACCTTGTTTTTTTCCTATAGTCTTTATTTATCGATCAAATGTAACCAGAAATACATCTATATGGTTATATCCCAAATGACATCTTATTTCACTTAACTCAGCTACAAAATAAATCTGGAAAAGGAAAACGATAATAATAATAATACTGAAACACCCAGTCCACAGTAAAAAATATCTAACAAGATCTAGGGTCAAATACAAAGCAGATAATGTTTACGGCAAACGTTGCCATGCTATTACTCACACGCCAATGTTTGTCTACACTGCAGCTTTGGATTCCTCTCTAATAACACAGCTAACTGATCAGAGTAGAAATAGGTAATGGAGGAAGTCTACCTTGAGTACGGTATTTACTTATCAAATCCCAACAAAAGGATTTCAAAATATTCTCTGTTTTTTTAATAATGCAAGTAATGCTTTTTTGTAAATAAAAGTTGGCTTCACATCAATAAGTTAATTTTTGTGAGTTACTCAAAATGACAAATTTTGAAAGGGCTAAATACTGCAATCAACTCAAGGGATGTGAAAATTTGTAGTCATTACCGTAGATTAGCAAATGAATCGTCTGCTCTAGGTCACGTTGTCAGTGTACAGCTATTTTTTGGAGAGTCACGTTTACATTTGACCTCTGTGGAAGGGTCACATGTTCCATCCACTCATGGCTCAAGGAGACTCTCATCTTCTGTTTACTATGGGCAAATAGATAGAGGTCTTCTAATTTTGCTTTTTTCAAATTCTTTCTTTCTTTTTCTCTTTCCTTGTTATTATCCAGAGACGGGGGCGTGCAGGCATTTGTTATAAAGATGATGTTCTTATGTGCCTTGCCTTTAAGTTGCAGTGATGCAGCATGATACAAGAGGCAAAGATTTACATACTGTTTTTTTAATACTTCTAAATCCTTTTCACTAAATAAATGCAACTTTCTTTGCCTCAGCTTTACTCTGAAAGGCCACAATGCTCATTTGCATGACAACTGTCAATCACTAACTTTTTATTACAAAGAATTCCAAGGGGCAAATAAAAAGTTTCTGATTCTCAAATACTAATTTCTTCAAACATGAAAACTCCCAATGTGTAAATATCAAGTTTCAAATAAATGCGATCATTCAACCAGAAAAATCTGAGAAACCATCCATGAGCCCCGACACAATAAGGAAGCGGGTATTTGTTTTGCTAACCAACGTGAAACAAAAGCACTGTTCACATGGCAAAATGTGGCTCAACTTTCACCCCCTTCCCCTCCCCCTCCCCCTACCACCACCCTAAGTGTACATGTATACTACATATTCCCATTCTTCATTTAAAACATTATTGTGTAGAAATTCCACACTGAAAGCCTAAATGCTTGCCATTTCAAATACAGAGCCTCCTGTAAAGGTCTCGAGCAATAAAATGATAAAAGTAAGTTTTTTCTCCTTCACAAACACTTCTAGCTACTACTCCCTCAACATTTCACCAGTCTGACAAGCATTAAAATCATTTGCCTGGGACCTGTTATTTCTAACGACCCCAGCATCCAATCTTTAAAGGCCATTTAATTCAAAACCAAATTAAATTTGATTAAATTCCCCTTTCTAGACTGAAATGCTTTGATTGCAGTAGGTGTACACCCACATTGTGTGCCACAGCAGTGTGTATTGTGAGTGGGATAGAGAGAGAAAAGTGGTCAGCACTTGCATGACCACAATTAAAATTATTGCAGGGCATAAATCAACTGTCAAGAACTTAAGTTAAAAGATTGACTATGAGATATACATATTTCATAAAAAAAAAAAAGAAGAAGAAAGGGGGACAAAGGAATACCTGTTTGCAAAAAGGTTATGTCATCAAATCTTCAAATTCTAAAGGGAGTCAGGGCATGAATTGAAAATCCTAATTTAAATCACACAATTTTATGCAATCTACCTACCTCCAGGCTACCAATAATTGATAAGATCAAAACAGAAAGTATTGGAAATGTGTACAAGTTATCAATATCATATTGATTCCTTCCATATTTCCTGTTGTCCATAGCTAAAATCTTGGGCTAGTACTGATGTAGACTGAACTATACATTCAGCAGAGATGACTATGTCTGATGACCACAGAAGACATTCGAAGACTCTCTTTAGCCAAATAACCAAGTTTTTTTTTTTTTTTGGCCACAAAATTGATGAAGTTTTATCAATAATATTTTATTTAATTTGAAGCAATTATCTTTTGCATTTGTGGAAAATTTAACATGCTCAGTTTTGCTAGAACGTGTTAATTTATTTGTCAGAAAAGATTATTGAGATATTGTAAGGACTCACTAAATTCCACCAACACTGATTGAAAATATATTCCAAAAATCAATGTTTTGTTAAAAATACCGAAATAAGACTGTCTGACTGTGCTGAAAAGTGATTAGAGATGTTCGGACAAAAGCACCAAAATGACTCACCTAAAAAATACAATAAAAGAGTTGTCCAAAAATTGTGAGCCATTACCCGACTTTCCCGCCATGCAATGTATGAACCTACATCTACAACAATGGCAAGCATCTTTCAAAGTAACCATACAGAATTTTTACCAGAATTGCTTCTCTCCTCTGTATCTAGTTATCTCATTATTCTACCCTAAAACTAAAATGAACATACACAGCAGCAACCAGGAAGTGATTATTTGCTCTGACCTGGGACTTTTTATAAACCTCCTTGTATCTTTTATAGTGACTTTGCGTGAGTAAATGAAAACACTCATAACAATATATCATATAACATAGCATACCTCAGCACCTACACAAAACATTTAAACAGAGTACCATTATTAAAAGCTGCATGATCTTACAAGATTAAAAAAATGCCCTAAAATCCCATTTCCCCAAATGAATCATTTTTGGGTGGTGGTAACAAAGGAGTCATAAATATTCACATGTGCACCCACACACAAACCTATCAGTTTTCCTTCCCACTGTAGTCATCTATTAGCCCAGCACATATAATCCACTGAACTTTTCAATCTTACAACCAAAAACAATAATAAAAATAAATTTTAAAAGAAGCAGAGTGTAACAGTTGTGTCAAGTAAAATTATTAACAATTTACATTTAAAAAAAACAAACAAAATATTACACATCTGAAGTTTGTTTAGCCTCTTTAAAAAAATAGAAAAAAACAAAAGACATGACTTCACAGCAAATTTTATAATTTTTGTTCTCATTCCTGGTGTCTTCTGTTCTCAGATGACAACTGACAATATCATTTTTATTAAATATTTCCTTCTTTGACAATTCATTGTAGTACAACTGTCACATTCAGAATTAATTTAATACATTCTGAATTTACTTTAAAATTCAATTCAGTAGGTAATATGAAAAAGTAGGTCACCTCAACTTTGGCACACTCAAATAATTTACTTGGGCTAAAATCACTACAAAAGAAAGGATATATTCTTTAAATTTCCTAAAAATTACCAAGCTTATCCGCATAAAACACGCTAATACTTTTTACAACATCTTAAGGAGATAAACACATTGTTTCTAATTATTTTACAAATACAACTACTTTTCCCTTTTCTTTAAACTTTCCTTTTAACATGTTTACTCTAAGAATTGCTATTTGTAAATAAGGAAGTTGTTCTTACACTGCCTACACATACTTATCTTGAGAGTATAAGGAAAGAAATTCATCTCAATACTGTTCCTCTTGCCAGAGCTCCCTACTTCCTCAAAAGTATGACCATTTATGAACAGTTGAGTTAAGAGATTCATAACCAGATTAAAAAAGAGATCTATAATTAACAGCCTCAGTCTATCTATACCTATACTATACATGAAACAAGAATCTTAGGGTCCATTCCCCATAAAACTATCATTCTACATTCTACATAGATGGATCCTACAGTATTCCTACTCCCTGGGGACTCTCACTGAATGCAGTCAGATTAACACGCCTCCTCCTCTTATCAACATACTCATATAATCACCAGCTTTTCTGAATTTTACTCATCACCAGGGAGATGCATGTTACTTTGTTAGCATTCAGCGAGTGTTGCTGCGAAGATGGATCGATCTATACAGAACAATTATCTTTGGAAATGAGCTCTTGCCATATGCTTAATCTTTTAATTAATACAGCAAATTTATCTATAGTAGACATGTAATATTTCAATTATCTTGAGTGACCTAGAAAAAACCCAGCAAATGAAACTGTGCTGGTATATAGCAGGGAGTTCACTGATATTATATATGTACAGAGACATGCAGTGTCTGAATTATACAATCCATGTGGGTTACATTATAATTTATTTCAATGAACCCGAGACAAAGTTCCAAGAAAGAAATCAAATGTCATTTCATTATAGAACAGCATCCATTGGTTCAAATATATAAAGTAGAAAATAGTCACAGCTCTCTGTCAAGAACTGGGCAGTCCACAAATAACAAGACAAATGTTACTTTCTCAATCTTTTCTCATGATTATTATTATTATTATTTTATTTTATTGTTATTTTTTTAGTTGAGAATAAATTTCTTACTGACCTGTTTGTCTCTCCCTGCCCCAGACTGTAGCAGCCATTGCAAACATCCCGGATGCCCACCAAAAGCTGCAATATGTGCAGGGGTCTGCAGAAAGCGTGTCGTAAGCACATCGCAATCCGCTCCCAGTCGAGTAATACTCATTAACTTTCTCAAACACGCCAGCTAAAAAAGTGCAAGAAAAAAGAGAGGTGTATACAAAAAATAACACTTTACCTGACGATTGTAAGCAGCTCCGCAGTGAAGTAGCCATTTGAGACAGTGACCGCGGCTGGCAAAGGCAGCAATATGGGCGGGAGACTGGTTGAAACGGAAGGTGGTAACGTCACAGTTCATGCCGTGTTCAAGAAGGCGCATAAGGCAATTCAGCTGAGGGGAAGAGCAGAAATGAGACAAAATTCAAAAAACAAGACAAAAATGACAAGCCTCCATACACACACATAATATTAAATAACTCTGAATTGCAACTGCGTCTTCTGGAATACGACACAACTCAAACAATAATCTACAGAATACCCAGGAGGTTGACAAAGCAAAATACAAGGNGAAAAAAATACAGGCAATTCATATAAGATGTACCCTAAAGAGTACTGCTGCTGGGATTTTTAAATCAAAAGACAAATCATGTATATTTTTTTTCCTCCAAATTTGCAAAAAAAAAATATTTTAAGCAAATTTGAATTTTCAACCACTTGACCAAAATCTACTTTTGAAGTAGTAAGCCTAGTAAATATTCCCCACTGCCCACCCACTTCTTGTATTCCGCAGATAATGATTTTGTCTGCCTTGTTTACTGGAAACTGCTAGGTAATTGAGTGTCTGGGTCACGCTCAGGGAAGTCAACAATTTAGGGATCTAATGTATTGTCTTTTATCAAAATAATCTTGAGTCTGTTGACCTTTTTTATCATTTTTTAAAGAGGATAATTGTTGTTGTTTTTTCTACCACAAAGATATGCATTTTGATTTTTTTTTCAGATTGTGATTTAATGACTCAACAGTATTTAAAATATTCAATTCCATTACAAGCACATTTTCTATTTTTCAGCATTTTTTTTCTTTCTTTTGCATTCATGCAGGTTTGGGGAGGGTTTTTCCAGGTAAACATAAACACTGATAAATAACAAAACTGGGACAAAGTAAAGGACAACTTGACCAAAAACAAAGGTATCCTATCCAAAATTTCCCGCCAAATAGAATGCTCCTAAAAAAAGCAATTTTCCAGTAATCATGCATCATTTGGCAACCCATCCCTGCTCTTGGTTTTCATGTTTCTTATATCATTTCTAATTACATAAAAAACAAGTCCTTAATGACTGGCCAGTCAGTTAAACTGACGTGTCTTGCTGTACACTTCAAAAGGAAAAACACTGTCAGGTTCTTGAATCTAAGGTGTTTTATCATTTCTGAGATCTGCATTGGGAACTTTAGATAAGGAGCTTTGCAGGATGATTACTATACATAAAACAAATATGGCTTCAGGACATTTTCAAACATGGATAGTATACCTTTAAAAAAGAAGATCTGATATATAGGACATTTAATGAGTAGATTGACAATTAGTGAAATCTGCTGACCTTTCTAGCCTCGAATTCCTCTACAGGTCTGCTTGTCTGTAAAAAGTGAGGACAAGTGTGAAAGAAGTGGCATGAGCTTACTGTAATCATAAGCAAATTATTATATGGAAAGCTCATTCTTGTCCAAATAATGTGCTTTTCATATTTTATGGATTCCAAACTATATGGTTTCATCTGGGCTCACTCTTGCCTTGAATTGTTTACTTTGGCCAAAATTTAAAATAGCAATACTTTATTTACCTGATAAAATTTACATAACCCCAGTGAATGATTACACAGGTGAAGACCATGAAGTAATAAATTAAATTTTCTGGTTTTTATTTTCAACCAAGATAAGATATCTTGAGGTATATTAAAGAATCATATCAACTTTTCGAGTGACCCCAGAACATAAAGCCTGTTAACTTATTTAGTCTGTTAATCAACTTATTAGTCAAATGATCTATTTAACCAGGTATGAAGATACCTGTCTATCTCCCTCTCAAATAATTAAAAATCAAACAAAGAGATGTATATCTAGCATTTTTTACTCCAAACTCTGAACGGGTTGGATATATTACGAAAATGGAAGATGCCAAATGAATAAAATAAACACAAAACAGTAGCAAACAATATAATAAAAAAAAACAATATCCATTTGCCTTGAACATAATTAGCCAGGTCACTGTCTCGAGCTTCCAAAACCTAGCCATTTTATAATTACTGTTATAACGTAAGGTGTGCGAAAAATTCAGTAACTAGCGGTTAGATCAACAACCACTTGCGCTATCGTCGGGCTGTTGACGCAAATCCCCTGCTTCTATATTTAGATTCTCCCGCCATGACCATTTCAAAATTAAGTGCATCACAAACGAGGAAAACGCCCGATAAAACAAATATCTACTGATGTGATCTTAATAAAATATAAATGATCGAACAGGCAAGACACTTACCCGCCCGAAATAAGCTGCCCAATGTGCCGGCGTCCAACCGTAAAACGTGTCTTCAACGTAGACGCTGTGTTGAGCTTGTAGTAACAACAAGGACAAAGCTTCTACATCGCCGTCTCGACAAGCTCGATGGAGTGGATAGTCTCTTTTTAATATTTCCTCACTCATTCCTCCCCAGTAACCAAATCCACTTGTTTCATCCATGATTTAGAAATCTTTCTGGTGTATTTTTTTCGATGATCGAAGTTAAATTCTTTGTCAATTAGCCGGCGGATTTAGCACTTCAATTTTGAATTCGCACATCAGCCGCCGGCTCAACATGAGGTCAAACATCCGGGTAACTTACGTCAATGAAAAGCAGGTCACCTCGCCGGGTTATTTTGGGCGAGTCAAATAAGGTGACCTTGGATAAGTTTGCTTTATCTTCATTGCCAAAAATGACCAAACTTTAATCATGCTTAACTGTCGTTCTTTTGTATGAATTGTTATATTTTTCTGAACAAGAACAGGTTCGTGCAGAATGCTTCAAAGTAGGAGCCTCGTTTTTTCGATTCAATGTACTAAAATTATTGTCATAAACGGTCAAATTATCTTTGAAATCGAGACTGATTATTGGAGATCGACCGCAAGATTTGTGTTTATATTCAGCTCTTCTTTGCGTGAGAGGACAGAAAATGGTTAGAGATAAATAAACGCAACACGTGCCCCGGAGCTGAAAAAAGAAGATGTGGAAATATTTTGCATTAATTCGCTATCTTGTTCCACTGGCTTTGACTAATATTGCACCAGATATTGCTAAACAGGTGAGATGTTTTTAATAATGGACATGCGGTACATGAAAAATGGGCTCATTTAAGATTAATTTTAGTTTAATTTTTTTTGCACCTGTAAATTAAAATGAGCTTGTGGCATCATTTTATTGAAATGAAATCTGGACGGAGATTTTCCTCTGTTTGGAAGAAAAATTACACTTAAGAAGTAAAAAATAACGAAGGCCCATTGGAAGGATAGCTGTTTGGAGTATAAAATGTTAAGAATATGGAAGGAAGGGGGCGGATTTTCCTCTGTCACCATATGATTAAATTGACATAGTTATTTCATCACCATTCCCCCGGCTGCCTCCGATAGTGATGATGACATGCACATTGTGTAATTGTGTTGCCAAATATGGCATATAATATGTAATTTTGACATTTTTCCTAGTAAATTTTTGTTCATGATCATGCAAATACTATCCCATGGAGGCAGCATGGCATAGCATGAAGATTCATGCCTTTCCGGTCACTCTAAAATGAGCAATTCAGCTCAATACAGCGTACTCCCATAAAGCCATGGAGCCATTTTAGCCATCAGAAAATAAAGTTTGATTTGCCTGCTCATATACCAACTACATTATGCTGCAGTGACATCTTACACCCACCAAAGACTGCAATTAACAGACTTCTGAATGTGCAAAGTACAACAATATGTATAGAAATTACTCTGTTTTAATCCAATACTGATGCCAATTTCAGGTGTTAAACAGAGGAATCACAGCCACTGATGATGTGGAAGACACTTTGGCAAGTTTTGGCCTTGCCTATGGTATTGTGGAGCTCATGTTTGGCAGCTTGAGTGAGTGTTTATTTATTTATTTATTTATTTATTTATTTATTTATTTATTTATTTATTTATTTATTTATTTATTGTTATTACCATTGAACTTTCTGGTAGGCATATGGTTACTGCTTATTGATGTGTTGTCAACACTAAGTAAAATAAATTGTAATGACATAAATAAAAATATCTATAAATATACTTGTCTCACTAAATACCTGTACATATTTAGACAAATCAGAAATTGTCTAGAAATGATGATACATATGTAAGCTGCCTTTATTATAAAAAAAAAAAATGAATTTCACTTTTTTATCCAAAATGTTTCATCTCAAACAATAGATTTATTCTAGTATATATTTATTCATAGTTGGCACAATTATGTTTGCTTACTAGCTAGTGTAGATAAGTCTGTTTTATCGAAATTCAAATTTTGTTTCAGCTGAAATGCGTAATGTAGGCCTGGTACTCTTAGTGTCCAGAAAGGATAGAATCAAGGGTCTTCTGACAGGTGGAGTGATCGCCATGGTGGGGTTTGTCTTGCTGCTAATTACAGGTAAATAAATGAGGGAAATTTGCTACAGGTATCCACACAGCAAATGTCAGGTATTACACATAAATGTTGAGATAAAATGATCCAGATATGGGGGATCTTGCATAAGCACATGCCAGTTACACCTTTCCTGGTTCTTGTGTCCTCATCATCAGTCTTGGTATAACTCGGACACACACCTTGTCAGCAAGGTACAGTACATGTGATATCCATTTGTAGTCTAATGTACACCTTACATTCTACAATGTTTCTATGACTTTTTCTTGTGTAATGTCATAATATCATATATAAGAGCTAAACAAGGGCAATATAATGACAAATTTCCATATTTACAGACAGTCCTATTGGTAAACATTATATAATTATATTTTCAGCCACCCCTATGAGCAAATGGCCCATAAATTCAATACAGTTGTGACTCCAAATTTTGATTTAGTGAAAGGTCAGAAATATGCAACAATGAAAACATGGTGTTAGGACTTAATCAGTATATACATATATTGTGGTCTTATTGTGCATTTTAAATACATGGTCATGTGTGTATGTTGTTGGATGTTTGAAATTCTTTACAGGTTACACAGTGGTTGGGACATATTTGATAGAAAAACTTCACCAAGTAGATGAGCATGTGAGCGAAATGACGAAGACTGCTCTGGTTTATCTTTCTTTAATTCCCCTCCTAGAAGTATTGGTATGATCTTTGATATTTTATCTTTCTATTATCTTACATTCTGAGGTAGATTGATTTATTTCAGTGGGTGTCTAATTAATGTTATGGAAATATTTTACTAATTATCTTTTGAATATTATCCTTTAAAAAAATGTAGGTAATGATATAAAATAAGGTAATGTAATGTAAATTCATTGAATTATTGTAGAAGAATTTTTGTTATTGCAGTATATATTTTTGGCCACAGTATGTTGATGACAGAATAAAAACCAAACAATTGCAATATGACAACTGCTTCCATTACAGGCCCAGGCCCATGCTGGAATGTTACTTCAACATCGGCACAGTCTGCTGGTGGGGGTATCTTCCCTCAGTGATGTCATTACTCAGGTAAGATGGGACAAGTGGGACAGTCTTCTCTCAGTGATATCATAACACAGGTAAGATGGGACAAGTGGGACAGTCTTCCCTCATTGATGTCATTACACAGGTAAGATGGAACAAGTGGGACAGTCTTCCCTCAGTGATGTCATTACTCAGGTAAGATGGGACAAGTGGGACAGTCTTCCCTCATTGATGTCATAACACAGGTAAGCTGGGACAAATGGGAGTGCAAATGGAGGCTAAAAGATGCCATGTAACTGAAAATATTGTTGACTTGATATACTAGGACAATATTCTTAGCCAAGTGTTTAATGTTTAAAGATCAAGTACTTTTATTATTTTTAAGAAACCAAAGCAAGTGATATTGAGCATTATTCGGAATTCTTGCCTTTAATTTTAAATCTCCAAAAGCTGTCAGTGACATGTGACAATTAATATTTCACTTTCAGTTTGTCATGATCGTGGGGTTGATCATGACTCCACTGAAAAACGAAGACCCCATCCTAATCCCGGTGCTGGCAGTCTATGCTGGCTTCACATGCAGGGTGGTTATCAATGTGATAGGCTACTATTGCACTGTGGAGAAACTCATGAAGGAGGAAGCAGAGGTGAAGCAGACTGCATTGTGTTTTTCATATTTCTGGATTTTTTTTTTGTTTGTAATAATCAGGTGTTACAATCAGATTATTTTGAATTTTACCAAATTTGCAGAAAGTGGAAATTACAGAAAAAAAACAATCACACATTTCAAAATTCGGATATTGTGATTTTCCCATGATGTGGAATTTCATTTATGCTTTAAACCGTAGTGCTTATTTGTTATCATAGTTTATTTGTTCTTGTAGTATAATTAAAATTTAAAAGAATTGACCACAAGCAGTTTTTTAAGGCTAAAACACACATTTTCATTTTACAAGTTTCAGTGCTTTCTGATGATCTCATTTATATATTCTTTAGGAAACTCTGACAGTGAAAAGAATCTTAAAGTTCCTATGGCCCCTAATGTTGGTTCGGTTTGTCCAAGTTGTAAGCCGGCCAATCATTCTCTTGCTTGTATCACGCAGTATGGAAGATTCAGCAGCGTCAGTCAGAGTAGGTGGCCCCTAGATTGGCCTGTATCGTCCTGCTTTTGTTGTTGCAGGTTCCACTAACAATACCAAAGCTTTTGCACTTTCTCTGGCCTCTGTGGTTAGTTCAGATAGCACATAAAATCAGTCGTCCTATGATTAGCATGGTAGCAGCACGAAGTGCTAAAAATAGTGCCAGAGCTACCGAAGTAAGTTCTTAAAAAATATTTTTGTTTGCTTTGGTTGTTTTCTCTTGTCTCTGTTCATAATTTTTACTGATCAGCTCTTGGCACTTATGCTGAAGATTAGTAATTGTGGACCTCTTGTTTTACGCACAGTTTTAACGTATATGGTTCATTGCAGAGGCGGATTGAGGCTGTCTTCTGGGTCTTCCAGAAGACGGTCAGATTTTCAAGTTTACATTGACGGGTATTTAATTTTTTTCTGTTGGAAGATGGTCAAAAATGGAGGATGGATCAGCAAAGATAATTTGGAAAACTGTCAGAAAATGTCTCTGGATCCGCCCCTGCATTGCATTAATAAATGGCTTGGGATAGTTGTAAAGATCAAGCACATGTAATGCCACCCTCAGCAACCAATATTATTCTTGATGAACACTGAACTTTCTTGTGTGTATCATCTCAACTGTATTTTGGATATTTTTCTTTAAATTCCTTCCAGACCATCGCTGTGTTGGCCTTGACCTTTCCCTTGGCCAGAGTGTTCTATGGCTGGCTGAACAACCTCAAGGCTGTACTGCCTCCGTTCTCCAAGGTAAATATGTTTTTTATCACTGGAATATTTTAAATCAATCAGAAGATGAGGTTATCCCATGAGACTTAATTTTTACGATAATTTTTAGTAAAAAGATGATGAGAATAACCAAAGTGGTGTTATTTTCTTTGGCCACTAGAATTAATCTTTGGCAGTTGTGAAAATAAAAAGTATTACTATTATCCTAGAGGACTGTCAGTGAATTATTGTTGAAGACTATAAATTGTGATAATTGTGAGAACCTTCACAATAATAATAATATTACATGTTATTGTGTCAGTTGTGTCAAGTGGACGCCTCTACCACAATCTCAACCCAAGAGTTTCCCAATATACCCATATATGGTCAGTGATTGCAGTCCACACAAATAAAATAAAAAATACTTGAATATTTATGTTTGATTGGGGAATTTTTTTTCCTTCCTACATTTTCAAATTTGTATATTTTTGATTTTGTCTTACGTAAGTAATTTTATTTTTTGTTTGCCACATATATTTGTTATATTTTCAAAAAAAAATATTTTTAAAGGAAACCAAAGAACACAGAGCTTATAGTGTCAGAGAGATCACATATTTCTCCATGGGCTGCTGTGTCTTTGCTGCAATGGTAAGTGCTTTCCATCATATGTATTAATTTTTTGTCTAAGCAGGTTTCTTACCAAGTGTTTTATCTTAGCATTCCATCAGTTTGTTTAAAGACATTAAAAGCTGAGGTTTCATTCAGGACAGATGACCTGCTGACTAACTGAGCCGCCGACTAAATATGGCCGTCCCCACTTAAAAGCAACTAATCCCCTGATGGTGTCCCTGCCTCTACACGCGCCATTAAACAGATTAATTCTCAGTTCCAAGGTTTAATTGCTAGGCCCCTGCAGCGACAAGTATGGAGACATCATGGATTTAGTAGGCACTGCTTTAAAGTGTGTTGGCCATATTAAGTCCCCATTAACTTGAATGCTCTTAGTGAAGTAAAACATAAAATGTTTTAATTCCCTGTCTCTCCTCTAGTTTGCCTTCCCCCTGGCGTGGGTACCAGGCTCAGCTCAGGCTATGGTGGCTACACTGATGGGTGTTAACTTGACCCTGGCAGGGGAGTGTGTGATCCCCATACAGATCTTTACCTTTATGGGAATATGTGGTAAGTGTGGGTATATTTTCTTACTGCTTTAGTTTATACTATGGTGTATTTCTTACTTCTTTATTTTATATTATGGCATGTTTTTTTACTTCTTTATTTTATATAATAATGTATATTTCTTACTTCTCTATTCTGTATTATGATGTATTTCTGTTTCAAACTTCTCATCCTCATTACAAAATAATGCTTTGTTTGTGCCGTCTGTGTACAATTTTATTAATTTATTTATTTAATCTCAGTTCAATGTATGCCATCATTTCCAAGTGTTACTCCACAGTTAATCATAACAATTGTTCACTTTGTTCTGCCAGTGTTCATATTTTATTTTTTACAGTCACATTCCGAGCACACCTCACTGGTTGGCTTTTGAGCAAGAAGAAGACAAAGCTCCTGGCGCCCTCAGGTGTTGTCAGACTTGTGGCCATCATTGCTGCCCTCTTTATTTTGCCTTTACTAGGGTGAGTACAGAGACTTCAGCACAATCAGTTTTGTATCAGATCATGTAACATGACATACATGGTTAAAGTTTTCAGGCTTATGCCAGGATTTTTGGTGTTCATTTGATTTTTTTCATATGGCTTAAATGCATTTTTCAATTTTATTATGTTCACCCTGGTGGTATAAACATATACAGGACATAGGGCTCATTTCCAATAAAACTCATTCCACGTAGAACCAAGTCCATGGGGACTCTCACTAAATACAATCAGAAAAACAAATTTTACACGCCGCCTCTTGGCATTGAGTAGAATACAGAAAAGCCGATGATAATACATATTGGAAACAATAGGAAACGTGATAACCCATCTCCACGAAGTTGGATCAATCTACATAGAACAATAGATTCATTGGAAATGAGCCCACATTCATTAACAAAATATGAATTTTCATGAAAAAATAATAAAAGGAAAATTTATCAAGAAGTTATTCATCCAGTGGGTGGTGTTTTATCTTTCTTGTAGGGTCAAGGAGGCCCCTATGGGGGTGGCTGCACTATTGATAGGTTTTATTACTGAGGCACTGATGGTCATTATTGGTGCTACTTATGTCCTGAAAACTCAGGTAAGTCTGAAGTCCTACCCAGAAAACATGTTGCACTGTCGCTCGTCTTCTCTAAATTTATCTTCTCTTAATTTAGGTAAATGAAATTTAACTAGAAATAGGAAGTTTGATGTAGACAACTTTACACAAAGGCAATCTGGATTAGCACTTCTCCATGTCTTTACTTGAGCAGTATTCACAGTATAAACTAGCAGTTCCTTTTGAACCTACTCTCTCTTCTCTCTAAAATCCTATTTCCCACCTCCTTACTGCTGAAAATCTGCCGCTGTATATAATAATAATAATAATAATATTTATTTCTTATATAGCGCATTCCATTTTTTACATTTCAATGCACTTTACAAATAATTAAAAAGTCTAAAAATAACAATACTAAAATACTTTAACATTTACTGATAAAATTAATTAATTAAAGAAAGCAGAGAAAATTTATTGATATAACTTTAAAATACTACTAAAATTAACCCAAGCTCACTCTTAATAAATGATAAACAACTAAAAGGTTAAAAGGAACACTAACCATAAAATTCTTTAAAAAGATGAGTTTTAAGACAGGCTTTAAAAGTATTATAGTCACTTTCAGCTCTGATACTAAAAGGCAATTTGTTCCACAATTTTGGAGCATATACACTAGAATACATATTTAAAGAATATAATTGTATTTTGTAATGCAACTCATTTGTTACCAGTTGTACATGTAGTTTCAAAACAGAGAGCTCTTAATACTGAGATCATAAAATACTTTTTTTTCCAAAATATTTTCCAGACTTATGACTCAGTTCAACTGGCATCCGAACAACAGCTTCAACTTCCAGAGTTGTACAATCCCCGTCTCTCTGGCATGGCTGTGGAGTCAATGGAGTCCATTTATATCGGGAAGGGTTTTATTTCTCCAGCTCAGGATCACCACCAAGGCCCATCACATACAGATGTTCCAAACACTCAGGAGTTGAGTCATACAGATGAAAATCATCAAAATGGTATTGGGGTAGAAAAGCCTGATTCAAATGAGCATACAGAGCTTTCTGTGTTGAACGCATAGTAGGATTCTGGGTTTACTGCTGGACCTCATCTAAGACCCTTTTCACAGAAAACAGTATACACTATGGCAATACAATCTGTACTGGTAGACTTTGGGAAGTACACACATGTAATTCAATTGTGTTACACAGCATTAGCTAGGTTTTGTTATATGACTCTACTATTATATTATTATTATACTATTATCAGGCCATTCAGTTGTCAGTCTCTCAAATTGTACATCCTGTATATCTTAAGTGTGCTGCTTGATGTGAAAAGTGTTCATGTGGATGAATTGGTGTTTGTTATTGGTGCATTGAACCAGTGGATCTAGGAATTGAGGATTGAGGGGAGATTGGGGGGGGGGCAGAGGCAGCATATACCTGTATTGTGCTACCTGTCCCATAATGACTTGTCAATAATTCTTGTAATATATTCAAAATAAATTTTTAATGATCAGGGATGTATATAGTTGAAAATATAGAGTGAGAGTAGAGTGCATGTGACATGATTGTTACCTCTATCAAGGAGGTTACATTTTTGCCCTTGGTGGCTTGTTACAGCTTAAACCTAAAAACTTTTGGATACATTTTATTTTGATTTGCAAAATAAGTCAGAAACTTAAAGTTGTTAGAATTTTGGTAAGCCATTAATGGATGAATGAATTGATTAATTAATTGGTTGGTAATGAGTATTATGCTTCCTTGGAAGAGTTATCTTTTTGGTGATCAGGTATTTAGAGCTGAAAATACAGAGTGAATATATGTAAAATGATATCTTAAATTGTAGAGGTGATTTTTGCCAGGTTGTTATTATTACTGTTAAGGCAATGATATGTATTGGATAATTTGTGCTAAACTATATAAAAGTGCAATTGTTGCCACTTGTTCAGCAAAATCAAGTTGAATAACACCCATTTTCTGTGCTCACACTTACATATATTTCTCTGTACTATTTTATACACAAAAATAACTTTTATTATATACACTTTATTATGGATTGTTAGAAACACATGTTCTTAGACACTGGAATACTCATAGTGTTTTCCCCAAAACACTACATACACAGTCATTTATTGCTTTCTTGGAATTCAAACATCACATCGCTAATACTCCAAGAAGTGAGCTAGATCTTGGACATTGTTCTATAGTAAGTAAGCCTTGTCTGCGTCAGCAGGGGTGTTAAGAGCAGAAGCTTCTAATTGAACATTTTTATTTTATTGCTATTCTGATGTTGTTGTTGTTTTTTAAGTTAATTTTTAGACACATATATCTGTTAATGAACATCTAAATGAAAGCTAAACGAAAGAGTGAAAACATTTTGGAACAGTCTGTATTAACTGCTTAAAGACAAGATCTCGCCCTTTAGGACTTATGCTATATGAATATACTTTGTAAGAATTGAGAGCACGGGTATTTTTATGAGCTGGAGTTTTTAAGGGGGGTTCAAACTTAATCGCAAATTTACTGACCATAACTTTCAATATATTTCACTGGTGCATCAGTTTTGTATTTTCTCATTTGCAAGAATTTCATAGATTAAGAAAATTAAATTAATCGCAAATATGTGTAATTTTGATCTCTGTGATTTGTTAGTGCCAAAAGTCACTGATGTTGTGAATTCAAAGTTAAATTACATTAAATCAAAGACGAGCTATATTTATCAGACTTGTTATTTATTGAATACAATATAGGCAAGTAACAGTCTTGCCCGGCTCGTACAAGACAAAATCAAATCTCTGGGTTAAAAATGCAGTAATAGTATATTTTAATTGGTGATATTTCATTGTCAGTCATCGGCGGACCAGGAGATAGGAAAGGGTCAGAAAGTCTCGTGCCACCTGCCCTCTTTAGCATGGGACGTACTCCAGTCCCTACTTCCAGCCATCTGAATTTGAAAGCGGCATGCGAAAACTTTTATAACTCGGCGTTTCAGACACGAAAAGCACTACATAGAGATAGGCAGCAAAGAATGAGGCTATTTGAAGTGATGTTGAATTCGATGTTGAGTCTGACCGCTGCCGCACCTTGTATGCTTACCATGGACGATTGAACGTTTTCTTGGCGCTTTGCCCCCGCCTACGCCTTGATGAGATGAAAAATTCTTCTACGTGCGTCTACATAATTCTGAAATTGTGTATAACAAAAAGATTTGCAAATAATGATACAGAATCTATGTTATAAGTCCAAAAGACCTTTTAACGACTGTTCAAGTCTAGAAATATTGGGTCTAGGATCACAGACTGAAGCTTTAGAGACTTAGGGCGTATTCCCATAGATTTTAGATCGATCTATCCCCGTGGGGAGTCTCACTAGATTACTGTCAGATAATCCGGCTTAAATGTCCGTCCCGCCTACTACAAGCTGTAAGGGGGTAATTAACTTTCGTGCCCACTCGGCTGACAGCTATTTAACGTGAACCCCCAGGGAGTTAGGTCGATCTATTGGATCGATCTAATCTCTGGGAATGGGATCTTATTCACGTATAAAAAAATTCTTAAAGGAGTTTACAGGGCCCCAATCCACCTTCCTGCGCGCATGATTGGCGTGGTTCTCAAATATTGTAGCAGACTGAGCCAGCCTCTCCGGCCGATCGTGCTTCAAAAACGTGACACGTACGTTTAAACCCTATTTTAAGGACTGCAGGTTAAAAAGATTGTTGTCTCTCCGAATCCCCCACCCCACCCCAAGCTGTGAGGACTATCCGCCTCTGTTACATGTACCTAATACTTCGAGAAACGTAAGTCTCATCGTTTGCTTCTTTCAGAGCGCGTAAACCTTAAAAGGTTCGGTGACGAGCCTACTACTACTACTACTACTACTACTACTACTAGGGAAAAAGAGGATTAATGTACGATTCCCTGCTTCGTCATGAGATTGGAGGTCAGAACCTATATTATACGAAATTCCTTTTCAATGCAAACAAAGTGTGATAGGTGAACTTGACACGATAATGATAAAAGATAGAGACTCTCCCGCGTCCTATGCGCATTCTTGCAAATTGACAAGAGGACAAGATGGCCACAGAACTGACGCGTCAAACCGAGGAGTTCTTCAACAAAGTATTAAACACTAACGCCTCAAACCAAGAGATTTTGGAGGTATACAAAGACTGGGCCCGGATATACGACGACGTAAGTATATTCATTGGCATAGAACTTTTAACACCATTGTACCAAAGCGAGATGTACGAATTAAAGGTTTAACTGAAGTTATGCTACTATATATATATATATATATATATATATATATATATATATATATATATATATATANCTGTTAATGAACATCTAAATAAAAGCTAAATGAAAGGGCTGTCAAAGAGTGAAAACATTTTGGAACACTATATTAACTGCCTAAAGACAAGATCTCGTCCATTTGAACTTGTGCTATATGAATATACTTTGTAAGAGCACGGGAATTTTTATGATTGAGAGTTTTTCAGGGGTTCAAACTTAATCGCAAATTTACTGACCATAACTTTCAATATATTTCACTGATGCATCAGTCTTGTATTTTTGCACTTGCAAGGATTTCATAGATTAAGAAAATTAAATTAATCGCACAAATGTGTAATTTTGATCTCTGTGATTTGTTAGTGCCAAAAGTCACTGATGTAATGAATTCAAAGTTTAATTTATACATTAAATCAAAGACGAACTATATTTATCAGACTTGTTATTTATTGAATACAATATAGACAAGTAACAGTCTTGCCCGACTCGTACAAGACAAAAATCAAATCTCTGGGTTAAAAATGCAATAATAATATATTTTAATTGGTAATATTTCATTGCCAGTCATTGGCAGACCAGGAGACAGGGAAGGGTCAGAAAGTCTCGTACTCATGTACTCCAGTCCCTACTTCCAGCCATCTGAATTTGAACGCGGCATGCAAACAATTTTATAACTCGTTGGCGTTTCAGACACGAAAAGCACTACGTAGAGATAGGCAACAAAGAATGAGGCTATTTGAAGTGATGTTGAATTCGATGTTGAGTCTGACCGCTGCCGCACCTTGTATGCTTACCATGGACGATTGAACGTTTTCTTGGCGCTTTGCCCCCGCTTACGCCTTGATGAGATGAAAAATTCTTCTACGTACGTCTACATAATTCTGAAATTGTGTATAACTAAAAGATTTGCAAATGATGATACAGAATCTATGTTAAAAGTCCAAAAGACATTTAAATGACTGTTCAAGTCTAGAAATATTGGGTCTAGGATCGCAAATTGAAGCTTTAGAGACTTATTCACGCATAAAAATTTTCTTAAAGGAGTTTACAGGGCCCCAATCCCCCTTCCTGCGCCCATGATTGGCGTGGTTCTCAAATATTGTAGCCGACTGAGCCAGCCTCTCCGGCCTATCGTGCTTCAAAAACGTGACACATGTACGTTTAAACCCTATTTTAAGGACTGCAGGTTAAAAAAATTGTCTCTCCGAATCCCCCACCCCCACTCCAAGCTGTGAGGACTATCCGCCTCTGATAAATGTACCTAATACTTCAAGAAACGTAAGTCTCATGGTTTGCTTCTTTCAGAGCGCGTAAACCTTAAAAGGTTCGGTGACGAGCCTACTACTACTACTACTATTACTACTAGGGAAAAAGAGGATTAATGTACGATTCCCTGCTTCGTCATGAGATTGGAGGTCAGAACCTATGTTATACGAAATTCCTCTCAATGCAAAAAAAGTGTGATAGGTGAACTTGACACGATAATGATAAAAGATAGAGACTCTCCCGCGTCCTATGCGCATTCTTGCAAATTGACAAGAGGACAAGATGGCCACAGAACTGACGCGTCAAACCGAGGAGTTCTTCAACAAAGTATTAAACACTAACGCCTCAAACCAAGAGATTTTGGAGGTATACAAAGACTGGGCCCGGATATACGACGACGTAAGTATATTCATTGGCAAAGAACTTAACACCATTGTACCAAAGCGAGATGTACGAATTAAAGGTTTAACTGAAGTTATGCTACTAGTTATATATATATATATATATATATATACTCGTGCATTTGTAAGTATGTACATGTACCTTTAGAGGTCCAACATTTTGGAGGGTCCTTTATATACTTGTAGCCAGTCTATTGTATTAATGCATTGTCATTTTCTTAAAGTGTACCGGTGCAGACTAGTACTGAAGCGTACTGCTCGGTATATATCAGAAGTTTATTGACAATCGCCCTACATCCGGGCATGATCAAATACAAATACAAGAAGTAATCCGCAGAGTGATTACCATATACAGTTTGATATACATTATATAATGTCTAGACTAAAGCAGGGAAAGTACATGTACTACTCAATTAAGATCAATATAGGGATAATTAAAAAAAAACTGATTCAACTAGAATAGGCTACACTAAACCTTATATTAAACTAACTATTATTTAGGATATTATTCAGAAAATATTGTTCCCTTGAAGGAAGTGCGGTGAAGTTTTGGCTATTTGTAACTGATGATCTCAGTGTAGCTCTTCTGTGTGGAAGGAATCAGAATCAGAATCAGAATCAGATAAATCAGATAATATATAGGGTCGTGCATTACCATACGGTGGAACCGAAATACTCTCTCCAACAAGTGCTCATCATTGCGCTTTAGCTACATGAAGGCAAAGTTGTCACATTCTATCTGTGCAGAATAATATTTGTAAATCATTCATATGGATAACGTACACGTAATCTGCTTTGCTGCGAATGTCATGTTGAGGGCATATTATCACTAGGCGGTATGCGTCCATTTCGTAGCCATGTTCGCCTTCTTCAGTCTTCTCTCAGGGAGTGTTTTGGGTTTGATTTATCCACAGTGTTTCCCAAGAGAGACAAATGTAATCAATGTCAATCTAGAAAAAAAATGGGGTGGTGACATTATTGGACGCCGCTGTCACCTTTGCCTCACTAAAATTCTTTTCACCATCAAATGTCCGAGTGGAACGAGCGTAAAGTATTAAATTCCCTCTTTCTGCTGAATACCGTGGTTTGTCCATACGGTTTATTCTTTATTTTTGCATTGTGATATAAAATATATAATTGTAAGAAATTATAGTGTATTAAAAGCTTGCTTTATCGGTATTTCCACCAGTCTGCAGCGATTTTGGATCACGAAGGCCCCTCTATAGTAGCCAAGGAAGTGGAGAAACTCTTTGAGGAGAAGAAAGATGCCCTCATTTTAGACGTGGCGGCGGGAACTGGACGGTTGGGTGCGGAGGTGAAGCAAAGATGTTAATTTCTAAATTTTTAAGAAGTTAGCTGGCTCTTCCACGAGACAGATTAGCTCTTACTTTATTTTATACCTACGTGAATCATTTGGGTACTTTTTCAGAAGAAAGTTGTCATGGTTGAATAGCTATTTTCATTAACTAATGGTTTCTGTTGGACATTGATTTTATCCGCTTATTAATTTTTCTGCTTACTCGTTAACGACAATTTACTAACTGGTATGGTCCTTTTTTTACAAACGTTTGGAAGTTGAAGAAAAATGGATTTCACAACCTAGATGCCTTGGATGCCAGCAAAGAAATGTTGGAAATAGCAAAGGAAAAGAAACTGTACAGAAACGTCGTCTGCGATCTTTTAGGCCCAAACCGCCTTGACATACCAGACGGTAGTTGCAGATTTTGTAGCGTGCCGTCATAAGTAAATAAATTAATTAATTAATGAGTAGTTGTTTGCACAAATGCATGTATGATAATAGGTAGTCTCTAGGATCGACCTAAGCATCAATCGATCTAAATGAGAAAGTAAAGAAAACGAAAAAATATTTGAACAGAGGTGTATGCCTTAATAAGACGTGAAGTGTTTACCCTTTAATTATTAATTTAATTAAAAAATATCTCAATATATATATTTCAGATACCTATGACGCCATCATAACAACGGGCAGTTTCTGCCCTGGTCACTTGAACGGAAGTTGTTTGGCTGAACTGATACGCATCGTAAAACCAGGTAAGTTTTTTAAATTCCTACTCTCAAAAGTCTTATTATTCTTAACTAGTTAAATTTTTTTCTGCCCTTTTTATTTGCCAGGTTTTTAAATATGTATATCAAATAACTCTGTACAATCCTCGTTCAACGTGTTTCTTTGAATGGTAGAAATAGGCAACCACGTATGGAAATGAAACACAAGACGGGCGAAAAGGGCGCTGTTGGTTTTCAGCAAGTGGCGCGTGGTAACCTTGTCAACCAACGAGCGCAGTTATCATTTTCAAGATGGAATCAAGACCTTTATGTCATATGTTTGAAGTTGCTGTTTTTTTTTAAGTTTTATGAATTTTTAAAATTTCCATTTATATCATATTCTTAATCTATTGTTTTTGCTTTCTACATGTATTTACAACCAACAATGTTTCTGCTTGTTTTCCTAAAGATGGCTACATCGTTATCGTCTTGAGAAAGGAATTGTTGGACGAGGAATATGGACGGGATCTTCTGAAAATTATGGATGACCACGTCAGTTCAGGACGCTGGACAGTAGTCTCCAGGCGTCCAGTTCCCCGTTACATTGGGCCTAAGGACGGAATGGTGTTTGTACATCGCGTTAAGTGAATAAAGCCTGAACACACTAGCGTTTCAGCGTTATAAAGATGTTCTGGGTCGCTTATTAAATTAATGATATTCTGTACTTGGTTGTGGTCATTTTGACAGAAATTCTTAAAGTTGTTTAGTTGAAAACACTGTTGTCTTGTACGCTTTGTTTTGGCATTGTTTCGACTGTTTTCGTTGAAAAATTTGAGGATTCCTTAGAATTTATTTCAAGTAAATGGCATTGTCCTAGAAAATCGTGGTTGTTGTATCTTAGTGACATATACCTGTACAATAACAGCTGTAGTATCAATCAGAGGTTGTAAGTCTTAGTCTTAAGAATCCCTGCGTTTCCTAAACGTTTATATTTGAAACAAATATTATCCATAAATGAATAAGATAAGATTATTGAAAGTTGATTTAAGTTTTACTGGAATGCTTTCGCCCTCTAACAGGAATTTTCAACTGCGCAACAACTGCAATTCACATTTGGCCTAGCTCTGTTTATTCACTTTTGTGCCTCACCTTTGATCAAAATTCTACAATAGTTGTTTCACAGTCCTGAAGCTTCACTGGAAGACTTGCGATCATTCTTAAGTTGATAAAGCGATTTGAAAAACTAAATTGAATTGGGATAAATAGGTTAGGCCTATTCCACGCTCGCCTGTGGCACTTTTGAATCCTTAGTAGTTGCATAAGTTGCATAAGCTGCCCCAATTAAATAAAGCAGTATGGTGTATGTATTTTTTCAAACTATTTTTAAGAATCTAAACATATATACTAGTAGGCCCATGCATTCGCATGCCGTTTCAAGTTTCCTTAATCGATTAAGTTGCATAATTGACAGCCGGGCTTGCGTTTGTAGCCTTCCGTTAGTTAGCGAATTGCCAGTAAACGGCGATATGTCAGCCCCAGATAGGGCGTTGGGCTACTTACTATAACTGGATGACCCGATATCAGACAAAGAAAGCTGTAGTCACAGGGAAAAAAGCAGCGCATTCAGAACAGGTTGATCCGCGGACTACATGTAACAGATTAGTGTCTGGTTGCGCTTCATTTAAATAATTAGTGAGCAAAGATCGGAAGTCTGGAACGGATTTTAAAATGTTTAACTAAGTTGTCATGATTTTAACTGACATTCTTATTTTAAGCATATTCACCCTATCCTTCTCCAAACGACATCATAAATTGAGAATACTAAATTTACTCTTGAAATCAAAACTGTAAAGTTGCACCCTGTGTACTTTGTACAATGGATATTAAGACCAATTATTATTATTATTATTATTTTATTTTTTTTTTTTTTGGTCATTACACGATTATACTTGTTATTCTAAATGAACTGAATGCCTTCGAGTACACGAGGGTTTAGAAAATTCATACTTAGTGTTTCGTATAAAATCACCATATATATGGTAATGGAGCAGAAAAAAGTACTCCAAAAACATTTATGCACATGAAGTAACAACGTGCACCTAGCGGTGTGCTGGGCACCGTTAAATGTCTTTTATTAATGTTTTTAATTAACATAAGCATACAATATATATGTTTTGCACAAAAAGTGCCAGCAGAAATTTATCAAGACGTTGCTCACTATTGTAAATCAGGCAAAGGCAGAAAGGCATCTAATACGTGAAAAGGAAAGAAGACAGCTAAGAGGTATGTTTCTTTTCACTTTACAATTCAATAACAATACGAAATCCGCCTTAGAGAAAAGGAAGAACGGTATGAAAGGTAGACCGACATGGAGAGAAATATTTTTGCTAAATACTCCACTAAAACGGGTTTCGGTTTGTTTCCCACTTTATCTATAGTTACCTTTAAATATTGATCCACTAAAGAGATGTAGCCTAACGTAGTATTTATGTCAATTTTTTTTATTTCGTCCAGACTAAACGATGTACATTGTTTGATGCAAACATGCTATATTCAAATAATATTTTCATGAAAAATGTGCTCCCTTTCGTGATGACTAAGTAGATAAGACTTGACATTTATCATTTTAAAACAAAGTATTTATTTATTTCTTTTTTTTTTTTGGGGGGGGGGGAGGGGGTACAGAATGGTAAATACAGCGCACATATATACTGTATCATATTGTTTATGTTATATTTAACATTTGCAGAAATAAACATCATGCTGCGACTCATTATCGGCCTTGCCTGCGTGTACGTCTCGGCCTCTGTCACTCCTTACATACTGTGTGCGTTCAAAATGATTGAAGACAACTATGACTGTTGCTATTACGATAGAGATAAGCCGTGCAGCTGCAGGCCCCCTAGGCTCTCGTACGACATACGACATTGCCCCAAGACCACCGAGGGTTATTACTGCCAGGTAATAGCGGATATGTGCGGTCCTGATAGATTATACGCCTGCTGTGACAAGATGGACTATTGCGACTGCCCAGAGACCGAATCTGGTGTTTACTTCCTGTGTAATAACTGCATGATAGTATTTAAAAAATAAATAAAAGAAAAAGTCTTATGCAACGATAGAAACGTTCATATCTATACTCTTTTTGATACGAAATGCTGAACAGTAATATTAATTCAAGTGAAGAACTGACCTAGGTGCCTTTGGGACATTTTATTTGTGTGTGCTCTCGAACAGATATCTGGCAAGGAATAAAAACTAAGAATTAAGTTTTATAGTGAAATGTCTGTGATATCTATATTTTTTTTTTTTTTCAAATTCAAATTTCTGGTGAAAAATTCTATGGATAGGTCCAACTCTGCAGGGCATTCTCGCTTAATTGCAAAGTTTGTACATCAAATTCATAAGAAATAGATATTTAAATGTATAGAGTATCAGTTTGATTTCAGTGTGCCTCATGGAATGCCGACATATTGGATTTTTCATAGGCTGGGCCAATCTCTTATGACTTTTATTTTCTTATTCCTTTTTTTATCCAAATAATAGTACTGAATGGATAAAATGTTTACTTTGTATATTGTTGTAAAGTTAATTACTTACCCTTACACTCATTACAATTAGTAATAAAAGGGAAATCAAATAGATGAAAAGTTAGAGTGATATTGAGTGTCAACAAGTGTAGAACATGTTTTTAGTGTCAGAAGAAGATGGAAAAGGTCCAAGTCAATAACATTTAATGTGATTGGTCAATTTCATAACAGATTTTAATTTTGATCAACTGTTTATCACATGATAACTAAGTTTTGGACATGATTCAAGTATGAGTAATGCAAATAGTATTTTGGATGAGTTTAGTTGAAAACAAGGCTCTTAGACATTACCTAATAAGGGAATGTTCTATGGTAAAGTCAACATGACAATGGAAAGTTTCTGGAAATCACGCCATAAACAATAAAAAGAACATAATTACACGCGTGATCAGTACGGAAAATTAGAGTATAAATATGGGTAAAATTGTATGAAAATTAAGTGGTGAATAAATGATTGAGAACTCCAGCGTCGTTATAATAATATTAACAATGTATCAGTGTCTTACTACTGGTAAGTTGCATGTGGTATTTCTTGTGTGGATGTTGACAAACGTGCATTGGAAACCAAGTTACAAGATATTCATCTAAGGACATCTAAATCCTACAATTTTCTTAATACTTTCATACATTTTGTTACTGCATGGTGTGTGTGTGTGTTTGGATTAATTTCACTTAGAGGAAAATAAAGACCAACTACACCTTCTCTTTGAAACAAAATATCTAAATGCTGAAATGTTAATGTTAATGTTTTTGCCTAGACATGGAGAAATTGTTTTTTAAGAAAGGAGGCATTCTAAGAATTTGCTAGAGGTTGAACACAGAATTTATTCAATTGACTGGGATGAAATAAAAAAATCAGATAACATGAATCTGCCTTGGTCAAAATCTGGCCGGGCCATTTTTAAAAATGTGTGCCGTGAATTATTTAGTGATAATTTATTATATTTCAATATTTCTATATGATTAAAAACACTGAAAAAACACTTGGTGCTTCTAAATTATTGTACTGTATGGAGAAATCTTCAAATATTAACTTAACTGTCCAAATAATTGTACTGAATGGAAAAATATTTCAAAATTAATAATTGTACTGTGTGTAATAATTGCACACAGTAAAATAAATAATTGTAGGCCTACTGTGTGTAATAATTGCACTGCATGGAAAAGGTTGGCAATTCCCATGTTTATTGTGAAAAAAAGGCATTGCTTTAAAAAATATTTTTCAAAATATTTGCAATCTTTTTTAACCTGAAAATAATTAAGCAGTGATCGAAGTTGAGAGTCCATCTTACGTAGGCTATATCTATATTCACTTAAAATCTAGCAAGCAACTACAAAACGTTACTCTTGTTTATGATTGGGTAAATTTGGATAAAGTTGTCACGTGGAACAGAGTACGATTTATCTTCTAAAATATACTGTTTATTTCCTAAGCATCAAAAAAGTATAGCATGTATTTCCACCAAAAATCCTTGGTCCTCTGTTAAGTGATTTATGGGTTTTGTCCATTTGCACTTTAACAAAACCATAGAAGTAGAGAAAACAAAACCAATAGAAGAATGGTGTAGATCTACATCGCAACACCAAATGTCCGCTCGTGAACGTCTCACGTCACATGGGTGCACGGAGAGTTGAAAATCGCACTGTTTACTGGTCATGTTGTTCAATAAGTCTAATGATTTTAACTAATTGGGAAAGAAAAGAGAAAAGTTTTCAGCATACAAATCATTTTTACTTGAGTGATCGGATATCAATGCTCAGTAGAAGACGATGTCTTGAAGCACACATCGTAACCATGTGACAAATCACCACAAGGCACTTCTTGGCCAGCCCTTGTGAATATTTTCCATGGGATAATACAAGCCTTGTCAATGCTATACAAGCCTTACTTAAACGCTCCTTTCCATCCCTTCTCCGCGAAAATTCTTTCATCGCGGCATTCGTAAAGAAAGTCGAAAGTACTTTACGTCGTAAAAGACCAAGCGTTTATTGATACGCAACACATTGTTGACCAAAATAACAACACAGATTTCATAAAAGGACGAATTACATATTTTATTGCATTTTATATTTTTATCATTAGACGCTATCGCAAAAAAACTTCTCATGCGCGAAATCTGCGCAGATCGCAAAAAAAGCTAATATAAGAGTGCCTCTTAAGTATAAAATGTCATATCTCTGACACAGAACTACCCAATGTACATAGTAGTTGACCCGACCTACATACAGAATGAACACCTGTATCAGTTCAAGATCAGTCTAAAATTAACATTCTGATAAAGAACACTCATGGACCCCATTTCCATAGATTTTAGATCGATCTATCCCTGTGGGGAGTCTCACTTGATTACTGTCAGCTTAGCCGGCTTAATCGTCTGTCCCGCCTACTGAAAGCTGTAAGGGGGTAATTAACTATGGTGTGCGCTCGGCTGACTGCAATTTAGCGTGAACCCCAAGGTAGTTAGGTCGATCTAAATCTAAATCTCTGGATCGATCTAAATCTCTGGGAATAAACCCATGATGTCAACAATCAAAATCCAATCCTGTCACGGGACACTGATACTTGGAACTCCCACTTGGCAAAGTGAAAGAAGAACAGACTGGCACAGACTGCTACCAGTGCCTGCATTACATCAGGGCAATCTGTTCGATAACAGTTAACGGTCGCGGGATTTAATTAAGGTAAGTCAACATCTTTCTCTAATTATCCTCATAAAAATTTAGAATTTAATAAGTGGGAGAGAAGTGAAGAAGGGGGATGAAAAGTTTTAACCTCAAATAGACGTCTAATGGCTGGTACTGGTTAGTAGGCATCGGTATGACGTGTCTTAGAAAAACATGATAACCATACAGTTTCATGCATAATTAAACCGGGGGCGTCTCGATAGTCCGAAGGTTCATTGGTCCGAAGGTTCTATAGTGAACATTCGGACCAATGAACCTTCGGACTATCGCTACGGCCCCATTAAACCAATGTAAAAAAGTGGGAAATTTCAATTTCTTTATACAAAAAAATTAATGAGTCTTGTTATGTTGGCAGTTTCACAGCTGTTTATGTTGTCGTGTACACTGTGAAAGAAGATTAATGCAGATAAAATCTCCAATATGGCGGCCATTTTTGCCACTCCCCCTTCATCCATCTTGTCTTATAAGTTATAAATATCAAATTCTACCAGAAAATAAAGATTTAATAATCAATTGCTATTTTTAAGTTGATAAAATTTAACTTTATTTTATTGAAAGTTCACAATACTGGGAAAATGTATTTTATTTGTAAACAACCATGCAGATAGAGAATGTAGTGAATAATATTATAACGACGACGAAGTTCTGGAGTCTTCAATCATTTACTCACCACTCACTTTTCATACAATTTTACCCATATTTATACTCTAATTCTCTGTACTGATCACGCGTGTAATTATATCTTTTTATTGTTAAAGGCATGATTTCCAGAAACTTTCCATTGTCATGTTTACTTTACCATAGGACATTTCCCTTATTAGGCAATGTCTAATTAGAGCCTTGTTTTCAACTAAACTTATCAAAATATACTATTTGCATTACTCATACTTGAATCATGTCCAAAACTTAGTTATCATGTAATAAACAGTTGATCAAAACTAAAATCTGTTATGAAATTAACCAGTCACATTAAATGTTATTGACTTTTACCCTTTTTATCTTTTTCTGACATTAAAAACAAGTTCTACACTTATTGACTCTTGATGAAACTTAATTTACACTCAATATCACTCTAACTTTTCATCTATTTGATTTCCCTTTTATTAGTACCACCAGCTTGTACGCTGGCAGTACTCATGGTTTTAATCCTGACCCGTCTCGTACGGCTCCACCGGCTTCTGCAACTCCGCCGGCTTCGCGTACTGGCGCTGGATACAAGTCACCGTTACCGTTTCTCCTCCTAGACTGCAAGGACCCATGTCCCCATCTCTTGGATTTAGGTCACATATAATCTCAACTTGAAACCCCTTTTATTTTTGTCTCAGTCAGTGCATTGGCCTGGGCATGACGCTCGTTGAAACACACCCTTGTCAAAATTTTTGAAAATTCAATGCCAAATATCTCCCAAATCGAAGGAATTATGGGAAAAATTACCACAGAAGTCTGACCGAAAGTCATATGTGAAGATTCCAAATATGCCCTTGGATTTGACTTTTGGCCTTTATTTCAAGGTCAAACTTATGGCAAGCCAAAGGGGAAATAATTGCAGAACATGTTTATCACAGCCCAGAACCAATAAATAGTATTCAGAAATATGATTTCAATGCCAAAAATCATATCTATACACATATCAGGAGGTATTTTTATACTTCAGAAATGATTTCCTCTTCAGAAATATCCTACATCATATATAAGAAACATTTATCATTCATACATAAGAAGTGAAGTTCATGTTGCAGAAAAAAAAACATAATATCAGGTAAAAACATAATATTATCTGGTAGCAAATGATGGATTTTGTGTCCTTCAGAGTACATGTTATGCAATAATGTTTTAGATAGTTCATCTCTTCTACAAGCATGAGTGATAAGTTTACATGTTTCAAGTGCCCCATCATAGGACAGCTCTGGGAATATAATCTTACATGCTCTAATCTGGATGGATTCAATTTGTTGTTGTGTAAGACCTGGGTGCCACACCTGACATGCATATTCTAATGTAGGTCTGATTACTGATGTATAAAAGCTTACAAGTTCATTGGTTGGAATACCCGCTCTTTTCAGAAGCTTAAGATTGTGTAGCCTTTTACTTGCTTTTTTACAAATATCACAGATGTGACCTTCCCAGCTCAAATCACTACTGATCCTAACCCCTAAAAAGACAGCAGACCCCACTCTCTCAATCCTTTGATTATCTACTAGTAAGGGTGTAGTTTTGTGTCCTTTTTTGGAGAAATCAAATATGATCTCTTTGGTCTTGGTAGTATTTATTGTTAGTTTATTAGCATGGGACCAGAGAGTGAGTTCTGTTGTTGCATCAGGGAGATTGTCCTGCAGTTTGGTATTCCCGTAGCTTATACTGTGCCGTCTTATACTGTGACCTTGAAATTGACCTTTGACCTTCTTTTTCACCATGAACTAAACTTTCCATATTTTCTTGCCCCTCATATCTTCAAAACTAGCAGAGATCAGCCCAGTGTTGCCCCTTGGTTTTCTTTTTCATCAGCAAATATGCAACACTGATAATACATTTCGAGGAAAACTAATAGGCCTATTGTCTAAAAAATTACAGGAGTGATCAATGTGAGGAAAATACAGGTCAATTCGAAAATTGGTAGGACCACTTTTTACAGGTTTTTTTTTTTTTTTTTGATATTTTGAGAATTCTTGTTTATTGCATTTTATGGAGCTTGTCAAGCACAAGACTGGTAGTGGTGTCCCTTTTTTATTTTTTGGTTTTCCATACAAATGAGCTTACTCCAGCTGGTGGTACAATATCCAGAGGCGGTATTGCCTCTGATCCGCTAGTTACTAATTGTAATTAGTGTAAATGTAAGTAATTAACTTTACAACAATAAAACAAACCACTTAACCTGTGGAAAATAAAACCATCTTTACCAAACTTTCTGTCAACACAGACACTTTTCTCAGTTTTCTTGCTTTGTTATATATGTACAGCCATAACTCTTAATTTGATTCTTTTCACTTTATCATAGATACTCAATTGCTATCAACAATAGAATTCATACTTAATCAAAACTTAATTAACACTTTATTATCAGCACAATGGCAAGCAATATTCCATCAGAAGATGGCGCCACCACGAGTCCTTCCCGCTGTGAGATATGTCTCTGCAACCCAGAAACACCCAAGGTTCTCCCCTGCCTCCACTCCTTCTGTCTACATTGTCTACAGTCCCACACTCAGTTGACAGACCCCCCTACCGAGCCCCAGAGGTTCAGCTGCCCATGCTGTGGTATGTGTATTGAGGCCCCTGGGGGGAGTCTGGAAGATTTTCCCACACAATCCTGGCTAAGTGAGGTGGAGGCTAAAGTTGAGAAAACAACTGCTGCTGCTATAGAAGTGAAGTTGTGCTTCATTTGCTCTGTCTTAAAAAAGTCAGCACCAGCCGACTATCAATGCATGACCTGCAGTGAATTTCTTTGCTCCATTTGCAAACAGGAACACGGTCGTGTGAAAATCACTGCTTCTCATCAGCTTTGTACTCTAAGCAGGAACCATGGAAGTTGCTCCCTACATGATGAACAGGCATTAAAATACTACTGCACAACGTGCGCCATCTATATCTGTATGGTCTGCCTGATGACGTCACACAAATCCTGCGAAGTCACCGATGCCAAAGTCGTCGCTGACAAAGAAAAAACATGGCTGCAACAGCTACAACAGAAATACCACCAGGGGGCAGAGGAACTTCAAGACAAGATCAGAGTCCATGATGCCCAGTCAAAAAGTGCTGAAGAGAAACTGAAAGCCATTAACACGGCTCGGGACCATCTTCGTGCAAGACGAGGGAGCTATTTGAAAATAGATCTTGCGTGTCAAAAGCTCCTCTCCAGCTGTCCATCACTGAGTGATTTAAGGTCAATCTCTGATAGCTTAGCTGAGGGTATCAAGGTGTTTGAGTCTGGGGTGGCAACTACTGAAAATCTGGCTGGTTCTCAGAACATCATGTCAGCTTCTTCTCATCTTTCTTTTGATAACAGCACAACCAAACAGGGTAGTAACATCATGAAACCCAAACTTAAGTTCACCAGGGTTATAAGTATTGGTTCCCCCCTGAATGGCCCCTCCAGTGTCAGCCCTGGCACATCTGACGGTTATTTTGCTGTCACAGATACCTCTGAGGCTGGCAGTGTGTTTTTCTTTGATTATTCAGGCAATGTTCAGAATGTGTTCTCTGAGATCTACTATGAGGGCTGCAGATACCAACTAGTGACCCAGTGTAAGGTATTTTATGATGATTCTTTTAAAATGCTGTACAAGGTAAAGGATAGACATCCTATCCCACCTGATTCATACAATGAACAAGAACGTGCCTATATTTATGCATCTTATAGTCCCCGCAGCTCAAAGATGTCTAAAGAAATAGTATCAAACATCTTTTTTGAGCCCAGTGCAATCACTTTGGGAGACAATCTTATGTTTGTATTGTCCAGCAAATCTTCATTCTTAGCAGTTGATTATGAGCATGATTATGATTATGATAATGATGATGATAATGATGATAATGATGATGATAATGATGATGATGATAATGATTATGATAATGATAATGATGATGATAATGATAATGCTGATGATGATAATGATGATGATGATAATGATGATGATAATGATGATGATGATGATGATAATGATAATGACGATGATGATAATGATGATGATAATGATAATAATGATAATGATAATGATTTTGATGATGGTTATCCTAACAGTCACAGGGGTCTAGGTAGTTATGGGGACCAGAACAATCAGTTCAAAAATCCCGAGTTTATGTGCACAGAATGTCCCAATTCAGAATCACCAACAGAAACTGCTCAGCATTTGATATATGTCTCTGATCATGGAAATCACTGCATAAAAGTGCTGAAATGCACCATTGTAAAAAGAAGATCAGATATAATTGGAGTAGAGTTTGAGTCCACCATAGGGTCACATGGCAGTGGACCAGGTCAGTTGAACCATCCTTACGGGGTCTGTCTCTACAAAGAGAACATCCTTGTTGCAGACTATGGCAACAATCGCATCTCCATGTTTGGCAAAGATGGCCTATTTCAGCGCCACCTTTTGACCATTGCTGATGGTATTGAGAAACCAATGGGGTTGGCTGTGGATGAAAACAACAAGTTGTTATTTGTTACTCAGTTTGTCACCTTGACTCAGCTCCATGAGGTCAGGGTGTACAGTTTGCATAATCTTTGAAGGAAAAAATTGATTGTTTGGAATTAAGTGGATTTTCTTTAATATATAACCAAACGTCTGGTTATGGCCTGATTGGAATATTAGAGTGTACAGGTACAGTAATATACTACATATCTTTCAAAAAATTAATGAAAGAACTGATAGGAATGAAATGGATAGCATGCTTCAAGTCAACCCCCTCCTTTGTTGAATATAAGATTCAGGAAGATAGAGTATCTAGAAGAGCAACTGTCCAAAAATCAAGCCAATTTTAGCATGTTTTCTTAATCAGTGGATTAATTTGTGTCCTTGCTCCAGTTAAACAGAAAGGGTTATTCTGAAAAAAAAATTGAACATCAGAGAGTACAGTGAAGAACATAGTGTATTTGTGGGCGAACAAAGTAAACCAGTCCTTCATAAACAGTGCCTCCCTGTCTCCTGGCTTGGCAATCAGTACTTTGAGGTTAAAGCAGGGGTAAAGTCCCCTAGGGGGGAGTCTGGAAGATTTTCCCACACAATCCTGGCTAAGTGAGGTGGAGGCTAAAGTTGGTCTGGCAGTGACAGATAGTGTTGGTCTGCTAGTCCTCAGTGCCACACATGGGTGTTGAGCTGTATCCTCCACCAGTAGGTGAGAACATATACACCCAGTCTGCAGGGGCATAACCAGACCTTTAGAAATGGCCCCCCAGTTATATTCTGTGTAAAATATACTAAATTAAGAGAGAATAACATCATGGTAGGACAAAAAGAAAAAAAAGGTACGCACAGTGCATCTGTGCGTATGCCTCATTATGCCCTTGGTCTGTATCAGAGCCAAAAAAATATTTGGGGCACATTGTAAACTGCACTGCGACTTTTTTTAACATAAACTATAATAATACTGGAACATGTGCTTGAGATATTGAATAATATGGAGATTTTATAATCAGTTGACTGAAAAATATGGTGTTTATATTAAAGTTAACTGAAAAAGATTCTATGCATATGTGTGTCTGTATATATTTGTGCTATGCTGATATTTTTTGTTTCTTCTGCAGTTTCTTTTTGTTTCACTTACTTTATGATTAATTGACAAAATAAGACATTTTAATCTTCCTAGAAAGTGCAACTCGGAGGCAATTCGATTGGATCATTTTTTTTCCATGTAAGGGGCTGCTCATTTAATTATGACAAAGCAATTATAAGTGATTGCACCGGAAGCACTGCTTTGTTAGAAAAGCTAAAGATGTTGATTTAGAAGGTCTGAAAAGTTTGATGGTTCTACACCAGAAGGTATTTTATTGAGAGTTACTTAAAGTAATTGTGACAGGTGACGCCTCAAGTGATACAAAGGAGGAAACGCTGTACTGAGTATCTGTACTCCTACGCTTTATTTAACTTGCTTGTTTACATAAGAGTAACTGTGCATAAGGTTCAAATCCCTAATAAAAACACAAAAAATATGTTTACATAACTGACAAGTAACTTTTTAAGCTTAGAGCACACTATATACATATATAAAGAAACTTAAATAGATTAATGCCTGTAATGATAGCCAATGTTATTCAGGTCTTGGACGAATAATGCGAATTATGGATATTATTCGTCCAAGTTCTAGTATATCCATACTGTATAAAGATTTACGTATCTGAAATCCACTCTCGCACTGGAACTGGATGGAACGTTTCGAAACGATTACGACATTTTGACCTTGTCACAAATCCTACTTCACGTGAACTGATGTCTCACGCGGAACGACCCTCCAAGTGTGGTAGATAGGATCTCAGATGGTGTGATCTCCGTTGTAAATTGTAAGATGCAGCATGAGAGTCAATTCCATTTCTATATTTACTTAGTTTCAAACAACTGGATGAATGAAAACATTCATTTGTTATTTATGTATATTTCACATATAACCCAAACAATCCGGAGCCAAAAATAATTTTATTGGTTGTTTTTCGTTTGTGTATCATGGTGTGAAGGGACGAGTTTTATAAATATTTATCTGTTTCCTTCATAAACATGTATAAAAATAACACTTGGAACGGTGTAGTAAACCACAAATGACACTGAATAAAACATATTAACAGGTATTGTTTGTCTTCTCTTCTTTATCTGAATTGATGAATGTTATTTTAAGTGTAAACGTAACTATTTCAAAATAACAAAAGTGGTTTTCGTCCGGCTTATACCATGGAAACAGATTCATAACAGGACAACACGAGTAAATTTAGTAAATCATCGCTACTTATTCAGAAGTGAAACAAGGATGGACGTGCACCTGTATGTGTTTGTTAGGTACTGTAGGACAATAAATAAGTTTATTTTTGAAAGTTGAAGAAAACCGAAAGATGTTTAATGAAAGCAGGATCGGTAAATAGGGAACGGTTAAAATGTGCCATGATTGATGAAATATTACAGGGTAATGCTGTTATGTCTGGGTGCGTTTAATTAAGATAATTGGCAAAGATCGGAAGCCAGGGAGGGCTTTTTAGATTTTTAAATTAAAGTGCATGGCAGTTGTTATACGCAAAACTATATTATCTTCCAAAAGTTGAAAATTAAATTAAAACTCTAAAAGCCACATGCGGGGTAAATAAACTTTCTTTCAGCTACAATGCATTAATTTAGACATGGGAATAGTTTATCTAATTAACGTATACACACACTGGACAAAAGAAGTGTCACCCCCTAACTCAGAGTAATGAAAGTAGGCAAATCTTGGGTACTTATAATGCCTGGTCTACTTATAATGTGACTAATGAGTATAAAACCGCTATACCATGGAATTGTATTGTTGGTCTTGTACATGTACAGCAAATGTTATTCCTGTCTTCCTCCAGTATGGCAAGATACAGGTAATTATCTAACGGTTATAGGTGCAAGTTATTAACCTGAAGAGGCGGAATATAAGCAATGTCAGAATATCGATACAATTGAATTGTTCAGTCAGAACCGTCAGAGGGTCTGGTCTCGGTATAGAAACACTGGATCAAGAGACAAATTGCCTCTGATGGGTCGTCCAAGAAAAAATACTGGCCGTGAAGACCGACGACTGATTTTGATGTCCAGGTTGTCAAAGTTCGACACTGCTTGTCAGTTGACAACACAGTGGAACAATTTCACACATAAGAATGTGTCTGTGAAAATTGCTAGGCGTCGGTTACATGCTCAGAGAGTGTACAGCAGGGTATCAAGACTGAAACCTCTTATATCGTTACAAAACAGGCAACATACAGTAAACTAGGGTCAACAGGATCTGGAACTGGACAGTTTATGACAATTGGTCCTATATATTTTTTCTGATGAGTGTTGCTTTGGTCTGACCTCTGATGACAGACGGGTACTATGCTGGCAAACTGCTGGTAAAGCATTTGAACCACATGCACTAAATTTTCGAACCCGGAGCAGCATATTCATCATGGTGTGGGACTGCATCAGCATCCATGGCTTGGGCGAATTGATAGTGGTTAATGGAAACATGAATCACTAGAAATATATCGATGTTTTGGAGTCAGGCTTGCTACCATCTATTATTAATATGTTTGGTGAAAGGAATTATCCATCTGTTCACCAGGATGACAATGCTCCTTGTCACAGGCCCAGAGCAGTTGATGATTGGTTTGACCAACAGGACATTCGCAGGGTGATGTGGCCTGCCCAGAGTCCGGATACAAACATAATAGAAAATGTGTGGAATTATATGTCAAAACTTTTTACAAATGCCCGTCTAACCAGCAGAGAAACTCTGTTATATTCAGTGTTTCATGCTTGGGCCAGCATAAGCCCTGAACGCATCAGACAATTAAATGAATCCATGCTTCGTAGACTGGCACCTATTATTAGGTCACGTGGCTATGCCACTAAGTACTAATTTTGGACTTGAAACTACATATTTTGGTAGAATGTATATTTTGTTCTCATTTTGTGATTTTTTGTGAAATTTGATGCTAATAAAATGATACCAGGAGCATATCATTCCACAGTCATTTATCTCCCCCATAGTATTGGTTCAGTAGGGGTGACACTTCTTTTGTCCAGTGTGTGTACAATGCATTGTTATGATTATAACCAACGTTCTTTTCAAATACACACTTTTTAAAGTATCGCCCTCCTTGCAAAAATGAAATATTTTATTATAATTTAGAAATCCGAACTCTCAAGTCGCAGTGAAGCCAAATGCGCACCGTCTACAATACAACAATTAATACATGGAAATATTTTCTAATTGCACGCTTAAATCATCTAAATACCTTCGAGTACACAAGAATTTAAAGAAGTCACACTTAGTGTTTCGTATAAAATCACCATATATATGGTAATTGAGCACAAACAAGTACCCGAAAGCGAATAAA